CACAGACAGTGGGACTCGGGTGTTACACTCATTGTAGACAGTCATGACTCACAGAGTTATTTTCAGAGGATATTCTTGATTTCTATTATATTTAAGTGTGAAAAATCACATATTAAGCCTTTAAATCACACTCTGCTGGTGACAGCTAGAAAGAGAACTGCTAGTGTAATACAATGAAACTCAAATGAAAGGCTATTTGACTGGTGAAAAAATCTTGTAATATCGACACAAAATTATCTGATACCAATAGTCACTTGATATGAAAATATCAGACGAAAATATCGGACGAGATATCGGATGATATATATTCATCAGTCGGGCTCTACGTGTTTCATTAAGAATTAGGTTGTGTCTATCCTTTGCTGTACATTGTCTTTAATCATTTGTCTCTCTTAATACTAAGTTCATCGTATTTGTAGATCATTTCCAGTGTCTCCAACAACATGTGTTTACGTCACAAACTTTGTGATTGAGAATCGAGATTAGCTTCATCTCAGATTAGATGGCATTTGACATGCAACATCAAACGAGAGATGTAATAATAAATCATGATGATGATATTTATGTGATTGGTTGTCCTTTTATTTCGAAACATGTTCTTACCTTGGACTGCTCTGGATCAGCAGGTGGTGGTGGGAACCCTCGAGTGTTCGTTATTGGTTTCCAGCTCCCTGCCAACTGAAGAATAAAAACAACAAGACGTTGTGAGCATGATATATGATATATTCATAGTTCATAGTTCTTTCAAAAAATGCTCCGTCTCATATGAGGCTTTTATTCCTCACCTCTTCTCAGAGAACTGACATATAAATTGACTGTAAAGGTAAACGTGCCTACCGGGTCAACTTCATCTTTTTCTTTGCTTTTCTCTGGAGTCTGAAATAACAGGTACAACAGGTTAATAAGGAAATATAAACTTTATAATCCTCCTTCTCAACCAGTTTAAATCATTCGCAGTGCTCCCCAAAACATTGTCTGTGAAGTTTCTTGTTTTGAATTCATTCTGATCCTGTATTTTATCATGCCTATAAATTCCTCTATTTCAGCCCTGCTCAGAACAGGCTGTTTCTGTGTCTGTAGCTTTAAATGTAAAAGATGCTGTGTCAGACCACGCCCCCTTTCTGGAAGGGCTTCGGGTGGCTTGGTCTTTCTTGCACCATGCCCTGTTTTAGGGTGAGAAGGCAGACTCAGAGGGCAGAACAAACACCTAGCTGTGGGAGTGTCACCCACCAGGGGGAGGGGTTACTGCCCTTTGTGATGTCATGAAGGGAAAATCTCCAAACGGCCTGTTTATGCACCAGTTTTCTGAAAATTTGAGCAGGCAAAAGACAGAGATGAAGGAATGTTCTTATAATTGGGGGATTTGTAGACAGACTATGGACAGGTGTGTTAGTGTTTGAAAAACATGCTGAAGTGTATTTTGCATAATATGTGACCTTTAATATTTATATTTCATGGTATTTAAATGACAACACTCAATCAAGTGACTTTGGTCTTCCAATAACATTTAACTTTTCCATTCAAAAAATCATGTAGTATAATTTACAACCAAAGCCTTTATATCATTTTCCTTTATTACCTGTAACATTTATAACAAATGAAAGAATTTAACTGGACTGTAGGTCTTACACACTAGGTTCACACTTTATTATACATGATCTGTGGTATAAAATATATCTAAAATATGTGATTTGTCTATAGGACATGTTTGTCTTTCACTGTCTTACAAATAAAATAATTATAATCGCTGGTTTGTTTCCTGATTTTTATTGTTGTTGTTGCTGTTACCAAAATAAGTAATTCTACAATAATACATTTTTAGCACAGTAAATGAAGAGCCAATGAATGCTCGCCTTGGGTTAAACGGGAACTTTACACCCACACACATACACACCCCTAACCAGACAAACCAGAAACACTGTAAATGTAACCAGTGTCACTTTTTCAGTTTCTTGACACTTTCAAATCCTACCTTCATCCCAACAGCCCGGATTTTTATACAGTCCCTCTAATTAAAGATAATACACGTTAGCTATGTTAAAACTAATAGACACAGTGCCAAACCGGAAGATCTCATAGAAGACACTGAAGCTGAGGTTTTTTCTAAAGAAATCAAAAGTTCTGAAGCAGGCTTTATTAGCCTACCTAAAAAACACTCAACATGGGGAAAAGCTAAATCCCTCACCTGTGTCGAGTTGGTTGTTGAGTTGGTGAATCCAGTTGTTTCGTTAGCAGAGCTGGTTGTTTCGCTTCCAAACCCGTCTTTATTGCCCAGTGGTGTCTTGTTCCTGGTTGGCAACTGAAAACAGATTTTGGATGATTGAACTTTAGTCAAAATAAATAAAAAGACTCAGTAGCCATATCGAAATTTACATGTAGAATAATAAATGGTAAACAGACTTGAGCTTGGTTCGCACTTTTCAAGTCTTCTGACTACTCGAAACACTTTACACTGCAGGTCACACCTCAACGTTTAAACACTGATTACAGAGGTTGCAATGTTAGAGTCCATCATTATTAACTTCTCCTTACACATATTTAACTGCCACCAACGAAGCAGTGGGACTTAAGTCAAATCAAATCAACTTTATTTATATAGCACTTTAAACACAACATTGATTGATCCAAAGTGCTGAACATTGCAGAAACAAAGCATTAAAAAGTAACAGACAAGAATAACAACAATAACAACCTTAAGTGTCTCGCCCAAGGAAACATCAGACATGTGGCTGCAGGAGCTGGGGACCGAACCCCTCCATAGATATAATTTAATAATATCAATGCATGCGTCATGGATCACTAACAATGTTGCTAGCCTCCTAGCTAACATTCGCATCCACAGCTTCAGAATCAGAATCAGAATCAGACTCAGAATCAGATTTATTGGCCAGGTATGCTTACACACACAAGGAATTTAACTTTGGTGAACTGTGCTCTCATATGTACAGGTACAACATTAAATATCAACAATAAACATAATAAGAAAAGACTAATATTTAATATCTAATGACTAAATATGAAACAGTGCAGTGGTGAATAATGCAAAAGTATGCTGAAGTAACATTATAAAAAGGAAAATGCAGTGAAGTGGCTGATGGGTCAATTAACATGTCAATTCTAGTATTTACATCAATAAGTGTGCGTAGATTGAGCTTGGCTCCAATCTTCATTTGGAGCTGACTGAAGTAAGTTTGTTGGGGTCAAATACCTTAGCCTCCTCTTCTTTTCTGCCATACTTACTTTTGTGCAGTGATTTGGTCCGCCCTCACACAATCGGAAAAACGTGTATTTCAGCGGTAATAAGAAATTAGTATTTAGATTTTTTTTAAATGGTATTATCATGTGTTGTTTTTTAAATCTAGGAAGGACTATGATTTTGCTAACCTTCATGTGCCCCTCTTGAGTTGGGCCCTAGAAAGCTCTCCCCTTGTTCCCCCCTTATGGGCAGCCCTGCTATATTGAAACTAACTTCTCTCAATTCTCTGTCATGGACTGCAGCATGCAGTATGACCAAACACGTGCAGCCTTAAGTTGAAAGAAGCCATACTTTCATACTAATCTGGAAAAAACAAGTGACCATTTCTATTTTTTTTTAACTTAAAAATACTAATGGAACATGTTTCTCACACAGAGTCTATGAGCTGTTTTTGAGCTGTTTGTGTTTGAAGTGACATTCATTTTGAAAAGGTCCCGTGATGCCATTTGACGGCTGAAACTGAATCCTGAAAAGATCTGATCTAAAAGGGTTAGTGAGGACATTGACTCTGGATTTCAAATACAACAGCCCCACAATCAATAAATTAACCCATTTAAAAGAAAACGAAAAAAGTGCATGCTGTCAGCCTGTATTGTTAACACAACTAAAGTTATGGTCTTAGTAGTTAATGTTTTATTGTTTTTAACATCATATTAGATGCGTAAATATGTGGAAAATCACAAGTCTTACCTCAGTTGCCAATGCTGCAAAAGGTAATCCCACAAAACAAAGTAGTATGAGCCCCCTCATCTTCAACATGCATATGCCTCTAATTTGCAGGAACACCAGCTTTATAGAGTCCATGTCGGTGGGTGGAGTCTTGGACACTATTGTGGAGCCTCAATACTGTAATTATGGATATTTTTTTTTACATCATTATTATGGGGGGGCCTTAACCAGAGTTTAAACAGACAGTATCATGCTTTTGCAAACTCGTGTCAATGAGTGCATGCCAACGTGTTCCTCCCCTGAATGGTTGGACTTCAAGGACACACATAATCCATTTTGCTGAGTGACACGAGATGTAAATGTAACTTCTGTGTTCAGAAAAAAACCCTCAACAAGACATATAATCGCTACAGCCTGCTATACATGGAAGTTATATTAATTACAAAGTCTGTATATTTTAAGAACATTTTAATTGTAGGCTGCTTTTTCTTCGATTTTGATTTATTTTCAGGTTTTCCTTTTTAAATCATACTGTTTTAACACAAATAAAAGATATAAGGCATCTGTTAAAAACAGGGCAATGCTTGAGGCTGGCTGCAGGAAAACCGGAAGTGCCATAAGCCCACAGCCAAAAAAACAACCTGTTTTTACAATAGAAATGAACATGTTTACAGCCTGGTTAAAACAACGAAATAGATCTGATTAGTTAATGGCCTCATGGGCACACACTGTATGGGGGGTGCTTTTTTTTTTTTTTAAATAACTCATCTGATTTTATTTCAGTAAGTAAAACGGTTATGCCCATATAAGGGTTGTGGCAGATTTGATTGAAAGCTCTGCGCGCTTCATCTGTCCGTCAGGTCAGGAGAGCGCGTGCGCGTGGGCGTTGCCATGACGCCGCAAGAAAACCACACAAGTTGAACACAGAATAATAGACCGAAGCTGATGAAGTGAGTCGCTCTCGTTAAATAAAAACAAACAATGTTTGAGTTTTTCAGAAAGTAGTTTGTATAGTATATATTTGTATAACTCAGGGTGAGTTAGTTTTGTGTGGTCTGTAGAAGAGTATATGGTAATGAAGGCTCACAGCAGGGAGGTCGGAGTGTTTGTCCGAATCAGACCAACGGCGAACTTCTCTAAAGACCTCATTGAATGTCTTCCTGACGGACAGGTAAGTCTTTTTCTTACTAAAGTCTTATTAAGAGCCAGTTAGGCTTTATCCTACTCGACGTAAATTAACTTTAATTATCTCAAAAACAATACAGTAAAATTTTCTGAAAATTCTCAGGATAACAGTCAGGGACACGAGGAACAAGAATCCACTGAAATGTATTCGTCTCCTGTCATAGATTTTTCAAAATAAAATATTAAATGACTAAAATATCAAAGCGTCTCTATGCAATTTGAGCAGACTTTACCTTTAATTATCTCAAAAACAATACAGTAAAATATTCTGAAAATTCTCAGGATAACAGTCAGGGACATGAGGAACAAGAATCCACTGAAAGATCTTTGTCACCTGTCATACATACCTGTCACTTCGTGCTGGTTTCCCTTTAGTATGTCACTTCCAAATTTAATATCCAAGTAGTACAAAGTAGAAAAAATAGTCACATTAGTAGTCTCTGTTTATTGGCCAATAACTGCAAAACATCAACCATAATGATTTAGCTTACATCAGATACTGACATTTTAGCCAGAGTTATTTACCTGTTAATATAAAGTTATCTCTTTATATCATTAAGCATATAGAATAGAAGAAAAATAAGTTGATCACTCACATTCATACATTCCTCTTATATTAAGTTAGAACCTAAAGTAGCCCAGCAGATTCCTAATTGTAAATATTATCTCTATTTTGTTTCCTACATTTGCTTTTGTACAAGTAAAAACTTGTCCCTTCTCCTCCTTCAGACGGTGAACATCCATCACTGGAAAGACTCCAAGCTGCTCCATGAAAGAAAGAAGAGTCAGCTGAGCTCCCAGTCGTTCAGGCTGGAAGGCGTCCTGCAGGATGTATCCCAAGAAGAAGTGTACACCCAGGTGTGCCGACAGGTGGTACTGAGAGCACTGGATGGCTATAATGGTAGTTTGTCCTTTAAAAACAGACATTGGGTTTTTTAAATATTCTTTTGGGACACCATTACAGTAAGATTATGGTCCCTCCTCCTTTGATTATATTGATGCAAGTGTCTAGTATGGGGGATTTTTTCAATATATATCTTACAAAAATTGAGTGTAAAGTCCTCTTGTGTACCCTTAAAGTTTCTTATGTTTTGTGCTTTTTAGGTTCTGTGATGTGTTTTGGGCAGACAGGTTCAGGAAAGACTTACACCATGACAGGATCCAAGGAATCATACAAGGAGAGAGGACTCATCCCTCGGGCCCTTCAGGAGGTATAGTTTGAAGAATTACCTTTTTGACCCTGACCGCTTCAGTTGAGTTAAACACGTTGTTTTCAATCTCCCATATGAAATTCAGGTGTTTCTGGAAGTCGAGAAAAGGACTGAGTATGCCTTCACTGTGCACCTGTCCTACCTGGAGATCTACAATGAGACCCTGGTAGACTTGCTATCATCGCTGCGGGGGTCCATATGCCCGTCTCAACGAGGTATGGTGGTGATGGAGGAGCCAGGCAGGGGTGTGTTCATCCGAGGCCTGTCGCTTCATCCTGTTCACAGGGAGGAGGAGGCTCTGAACCTAATGTTTGAGGTGGGTGGTCTGCGGCTCACAGCTGATAAAAGCCCTCCAAAGTGAAAAACAACAGTTTGCCCAGAACTTCAACTGAAATACAATTCATTTTCTGTTTTATTGATGAAACATGTTTTTAGTTTTGACAGGTTTTAGCATTTTTCATTCTGAAAGCGCAAATTCATTTCATGCTAAATTAATCGTCATTTCTTTTATCAGTGTTTTTTTGACACGATGGAGCACAGTCATTTCATACTGAGAAAATTTAATTGTGAACCCTGATAAAGTTTTCTTTCTATACTCAGGGTGAGATGAATCGCATTATTGGTTCTCATGCCTTGAACAGGAACTCCTCCAGGTCCCACTGCATCTTCACTGTGCATTTAGAGGTACGGGCAAAATTAACTTTGAGGTTGTTGTGGTCCTGGTGTCAAACATGACTTTGAAAGCAGTATTTTTCATTCACAGTCTCACTCGCGCACTCTGTCTGATGCCAAGTATGTCAGCTCCAAGCTGAATCTGGTGGATCTGGCCGGGTCAGAGAGGCTGGGAAAGACTTGGGTGAGATATTTTAGATTGTAAAAATGATGGTAATGTCTATCTAGGATGTTGGCATCATGACCTGTCTTACAACTGTGGCTGGACATATAGCAAGTTCCTTTGAAATATTTTGATCCTCCAGTCAAGTGAAAGAACCATATCACCTTTATGTGTCACTTGTCTTGTCAATTGATCTTTTCCACACTTCATATTACTTTATCTCTTCTTCCAGTCAGAGGCTCAGATGTTAAAGGAAGCCGTGTATATCAACAAGTCCTTGTCGTTCCTGGAGCAGGCCATCCTTGCCCTGGCAGACCGTCGCAGAGACCACGTTCCCTTCAGGCAGTCTAAACTCACACATGCCCTCAAAGACTCATTAGGTTAGACTGGCAGGTTTTTAACAATGCTGATTGTTGATAATTGGTGGTAAGATAAGTGATACCATGTTTTTGTTTCTGCAGGAGGGAACTGCAACACTGTGCTTATGGCCAACATCTACGGTGAGGCTGCACAGATAGAAGAAACAGTAAGAAGTGTGATTTGTGATGTCAAACACATGATGAAAACAGTCCAATTCTTAACCTACATGGTGCCATTTTAGCATTGGATGATGATGTTTGTACTTTGTAGCTTTCTACTCTGCGGTTTGCCAGCAGGATGAAGTGTGTCCGGACTGAGCCCATTGTTAATGAACACATGGATCCAGCAGTGAGTTCACACGCTATTATTACACATGTCACAAAAAGTACTTCTGTAAGTCATACATGTGGAACTATAAGTAATATTATTGTTCACAGTCGGATTACTAAAGTAAGAGTGCAGCACAATGCAGAAGGATCTCACAAAATGGTCTGTTTTGATTAGATTCAGATCAAGAAACTACAAAAGGATGTGGACATGCTGAAGGAGGAACTATCCATGCACAACACACTAGTGAGTAGAGCTAAAAGGAAAGTGAATGGGATGATTATCAAAAGATTTCAGGTGGTTCTTCTTAACACTTCATTGCCTATCATTCATCCCTCACCAGGTGAACAGGCAGGGAATCACATATGAGCCGTTGTCTGAGGCCCAGCTGGCCGAGATCAAAAGTCAGGTTCAGAGGTACCTAGAGGGAAGCCTCAAGGAAATCAGTGTGAGAACATTACACACAACACTGCTATTCATACTTCTTCTACCAAATCACATTCTGGTTTGATGGTTTTAAATGTATCTTTGACTGACATCTCATTACAGATCCTAAGTGTCAGGCAGGTCCAAGCTGTGTTTTCCCAATTCAAACTCGCTGTGTGGTGAGTATCTTTTGCCTTTTGTAATGATGCAACTTGAACAATTTTTGGATTGAGTCTTCATCCGTTGATTGTAAGTGATTCAGCATAATTGTGTGAGCAGGGAACAGGAGCAGAAGGTGAAGGCCGAGCTGTGCCAGGCCTACGACTTGACGGAGAGCTCAAAGGAACACTATGGTTACGCTGCTGCTGACAAGGTCAGTCAGCATCTGATGCACAGTTTAGGACACCTGAATGAAAATGAGTAGTTATTCAAGTGAACAGCTCTTTGTGTGTAAGCTTTAACAGGATGTTGCTCTGTTTACTCTTTAGGAGTGGGTTATCAGAGGAAGCAGCGAGGATGCAGAGGCTGGAAGCTTTGGGGTGTCGCTCAGTCATCCAAAAATGTCCATCACCTGAGTTCCACCAGAGTCCAAACAAAGAAGACCAAGGACAAACAGGGGTGAGTCAAAACGTCACACTGAATTTAGTAGATTTTAGTAACGTATTCAGTGGTAAGTTTTCTAAAGATACAACATTTTCAGTTTCCCACAGGTCTACTTTTGTAAGAAACGGTTACAATGGACATAAATGATTAAGACTACAGTCTCATGTACAATCAATCATTAAATAGATGAGTAAACCTCATCAGACTAAATTGAACAGTTCAACTAAGAAAGATAAGATAAGTCATGGGCCAAAATACACGATACTCTAATCAGGCCAAGGTCTTCTGGATGAAGTCTAGTTCTGTTTTTTTTTCTAATGACTAAAACGTGATTGTCCACAGCAAAAGACAGGGAGCGGGAAGTCCAGTTATGAAGAAGCATTTGGAGAGTGCCTCCAAATCAACACTGAATTCTGTCCAGATGTTTGAGAGGGAACAGGCAGCACTAGAACCAGACACAGAGAGCCAGGACACACAGGAATCACAAGCTCCTGGCAGCGAACCCATCCACCCAAAGTAAGTGAACGGTCTATTAAAAAGATATCTTTAGTCATCATATAAATGGAATGTGCAGCCTGGCTTTTGCCAACATAATTTTTGCCATTTCTGCTTAGCTCTCCTCCTTCAAAAGCCGATGCCTTTGAGGATTTTAAGCTGAGACAAGGCAGCATGATCAACAGCATCCTGAAGGAGAACAAGGCCGTGCTGCTGGAACGTCGCAGTCTTCTCCGACAACTCACCGAGGAGGTCAATGCTGTCAAGAGTGAGATAGACTGCATCACAGCCACCATGCAGCAGAACAACGAGTTGAGAAAAGGTTCTTCTGTTTGTATTATCAAAAGAAAATGAGTAAGAACTATTGAAGATGATCAGAGAGAATACGTTTCTGTTTCTTTACAGTGCTTTCTGTCACAACCTGTAAAAGCATCATAACCTTCATGTGTTTATTTATGAAGGTCAATACATGGTTACGGGGGAACAACCACTGCAGCAGGAGCCAGATGCCACTTCATTGATGCAGCTCAGAGAGTTGAAAGCGCTGTACCGACAGAGATATGAAGTGCTGCGTGACATCAAAGCAGAGGTTAACTACTGTCAGCATCTTGTGGATCAGTGCAGGGTGCGCCTGCTCTCCGGTCAGTTCTTGATCCTAATTCTTCCCTGACAATAATCTCTTATCCTCATTACTGAAGTATTAACAACTAGCGCCTCAGAATTCGCAGAGATGATCAACAGCTTTGGTTTGTGTCCTAGAATTTGAGAACTGGTATGAGAAGTCTTACCTGTTACCTGACGAAGAGCTGGACGTACTTTTGGAGAAGACTCAGAAACATGTGAGTCTGCCTTTTATTTACAGCAGTGGATCTTTCATGTGGGAGCTGAATAACTCAGTGTTTTTCTATACAAACCTGGATGTATGTGAAAAGGTGCAAGACCCATTTATTTTTGGATTTATATATTTTCTAACATGCCTCTCTTCATATTATATATATACTCTAAGTGCAGGCATTGTACAGGAAATCATGTGTTGACATGTTTAAATTGTAAGGAGTTATTTTCTTTTCTACTTTTAGGAAGAGAATAGTCACTGTCTGCCACACGAGCTTCTTCCTGATAGCAGCAGCTCTGACTCTTTCTACAACGCCCGCTACAGAACACTGAAGAGAGTGAGTGTCATTCAAATGTTTGCACTTTTTTGTTGTTGCTGTGGCTCAGTTGGTAGAGTCGGTCTTCTCTCAATTGGAAGGTCGGAGTTTGATTCCCAGCTCCTGCAGCGACATGTACGATGTGTCCTTGGGCAACACACTTAACCCCAATATGCTCCCGCCTCTTTGTCGGTGGTGTAGGAATGCAAATTAATGAGATGAGCTACTTCTGATGGTCACTTTACACAGCAGCCTCTACCATCAGTGTGTGTAGGTGTGACCTACGGTGTAAAAGTGCTTTGAGTAAAGAAAAGAGCTATACAAGCTCAAGTCCATTTACCACATCATCTCATACTTTAGTAATAGTCATAAATAATCTGTAAACAATAACCTTTTCTATCTCTACAGAGAAACAGCAGAGCGGTGCTCTCCACTCCAGTGCTGAGGAACTCATCTGCAGGACAGAGAAGACTTCCTTCAATTCAACCGCTTACCTAAGTCAGTTTTTTTAAATATATAAACTGAAGCTGTAAAGTACAGCCTCTACATGTGCAAAGTGGGAACCGGTGTTCTTGTTCAGTGTACAAACTTTAGTCTCTTTTTCACTATTTGAAATGAATCAGTGCATTTCAGTTTGTAGAATAATCAAGCACAAAAGACACGGCACAATGAATCAGCTTCTTAAATGAAAAGTAAAATTTATTATTCCTGAACCACAAAATATACTTCTTTGGTTGTACAAATTCACTAGTTACAGTCTTGTGTGAGCTCTAACCCTTGACCCCGGGACCTCTGACCCTTTCCCTCCGACCTGTTTGCAAGAAAAGCCCCCGAAGAGAACTCAAGACAAAAGAATAAACACAAAAACTTGAAACACTTCATTAATAATGTAGTGAAACCCATCTGAAAAAAGATTACCTACAGTAAGTTAAAAAAAGAAGAAGATATCAGCCATTGCAAAGGTTATCAAACAAACTGAATTTCAGTCAGTGAGAGCAACATAGAAAGCTATAATTAGAAGACCCTACATTAAATTAAAAGAAACGCTTCTAAGCCGTGATTCTGCAAAAATACCCATCACATACATAAACTGACGGTCTGTAAAGCAGTGAGCTGAATGTATGAACGAGATCAATGTGAGAGATTCATGATCAGCTCCGCCTCTCTCCGCTCTCCCATTAACAAACCAATATACACGCAGAGAGCGTCGGATACCAAGCCCGTCCAAACCCAGATGCGTCAGCAGCTCGGACACGTGCTTGGTTTAGGTCAAGACTGGCTCAGATTTCAAACCCAAAGTTAGTTTTCCTTTCAGCATTTGTACATTATTCACACAATAATAAATGATTTTTCAGTGGCATCAGATTTAAATTAACCAGACAGAAAATCAAACACCTGCTACCTTCACGTCACTCCGGAAAAACCTCCGGATATTTCAGGATAGAAATAAAAACTTTTGACATTGATGAGGTGAAAAAAAGGACACGGTAGTACCATTTGGTTCTAAAATGATGCTTGAATATTTGATGTGATATGTAGTCTCTCTACAAAGGGGAAACTTTGCCCCAAGCAATCTAATGAGTAGATAAACGTATCAAAATGAATGTATACTGATTGAAGAAATATATATGTCAATTGATATGCAATTCATGACTTGTAAGGTTTAACTTACTGGTTCATAACTTCAATTGAGAAGGTTAAAACGATAACATACAACACGCCTCTGGGGGGCTAAAATAGTGTCAAATAGAAGGCCTTCAATTGGAGTGAAATGATCAAAACAATAAATTACTTAAGATACACATTGTTTAAAAAGCTGACAAGTGGCAGTGCAAAATAAAAGATATGTTTTGTGTGACCATGAAGGTAGCAGGATGTTCCCTCCTAAATTAATATTTACACTCACGTCTGCCCAAGTCCTAAAGAGAGCCCTGACACTTTACAATCTATTCACGGAAATTCTAAAAATATCATTCAAGGGGTTAATATAGCTATGACCCATTTCTTTTCTCTTCCAGTATTTCTTTGTCTTTTTTTTTCTTTTTTTAAAAACAGTAAAATCATTCGAGGTGTGAAAACTAAAAACTAAACTCTTCTGTCACCTCCTTTTTTTTTTAAAAATACATCAGCGTCTACATGGAAAACGTTTGAGTGCAGAACAAAAAGAAGAATGGTCTGTAAGTAGCAATCCTAGCTAACCACACTAGCTTTTTTTTTTTTTTTTTTTTTTTTTGCCCTTTGACGGACTGTTGAGCAAATTGCCAGCTCATCCACAGACTGTATAGGCAAGACTGGCACGCAGGATATAAGTGAGTGTGTATGTGACTATGATCTTCGTTGTCTCTGCAGTGGTTATATAGGAGAGTACATCTCTTCTACTGACACTGTGTAGTGTTTTGTGACTCTGCACCTCCTGGGGATGCTCCAATGCTTTACTAGTGTCCACAGTGTGTGTACAAGTGTGTGTGTTTGGATCATGTCTCCAGAGTTTTCTCTCAGTGTGAGGTGTTACGTGGGCACGGCGGTTTCCAGGCTGCGGCGACCCTGCCTCAGTTTGCGCTTGTTGCTGTACAGAGCCATCTCCTCCAGGGCTGAGGTGGCAGGCAGCGGGGCGGGAACCTCGGACTCAGGGCTGGCAGCTGGCCCTAGACACCAAAAAAACACAAAACAAAACAACCTTAGTCACAATGCAGCATCTTTCCACATCATCGCTCTGCAAGGCCGGCTGTGGCACTGAAGAGAAAGCAGACGAGTCCCTTAAAGCTGCCCGAGAAGCCCAACATTCAGCTTAGCAGCTGGAAACAAACGTTTAAGCAAAAAACCTGAAGCACCCTGTGACTGTGTCTGAAATCACAAACTCACAAGCTCATTGGTACAATTAGAAGAAACACTGTCGGACACAACTCACTGTATCGCTGGCTGGGACAATGACGTCATTACTGACATAATAAAAACATGCTCAACGCCGGCCAGAGAGGGATAACAAATAACAGCATGGATTTCAGTGATAGATAATATTAGAGATTATATTTTCTGCATAGTAGCAGAAAGAATCACTCCAAATATTCTCCACCAGCCTCAACATCATCTTTTGTTATTGTTTTGATTGAGATCCCCATGGCGGCGGATTTTACATACTGTGCATTTGACGGTTTAAAAAGCAGTATTTTCATAAAATAATCAAATCATATTGTCACTCCATTCGTCTGCTTGCAGCGCAGAGCATGCTGGTATGTAATGCTTGGTTAGTGACAATCAGTTGTAGATTACTTTTCAAAATGCATTGTATTGTTGGATGAATGAGTCCACAGTGTAGGGAATTATAATTCTCACTCATAATTTGGACAGCACTACAAAATATAAAGTGAGGAGTGGGTGATTTCTGACACAGCACCTCTCTGTTGATCAAAGTTACTATAATATCCTAATTTGTGATGCCTCATCATTATTTCCCCCCACTCCATATGTTTTCAATAACCAGTGAAGAAAAGCAAACAGGATCCACACACCAAGAAGCTCCCATTTGAAGGATTTATGGACAAGTGACGTTTGGAGCCGACGTGCTCTTCCTCAGACTGACAGTCTGCCTCAAAACCTCACTCATAAATAAATCCTTCAGCTTCATGGTGTGCTGATCTTGTTTGCTTTTTGTGTTTTTTGGTCCAGCACCCACTGAGGGATGTGCGTGTCTTTTTTGATTTTTCATTAACCAGTGAGTCATGCTTTCCAAATAAAGTCTGAGGTAAATCAGACGTATGACAGCTGACCCACTGCGCACTGTGTATGTTTGGTTATTCACACTGACGGACATCCCCCCCCATCCCCCCCGGTAATAGAATCACCTGTAAACATGAGTTTCAGTCAGAGCTTGAAATTAATTCACACACTCACTGGATCATGGTTAGTGTGGGATGATTAGTTCATACACAACACGTCTTTGGTTATAAAATCAGCTGCTACTTCCTTTATAATTTCACTGGTGGCGGCAGGCAAAGCACACCAAATACCTAAACCCAGTTCACCACACAACTGGCAGGTTAGACTAGAAATGCACAAACTTACACACACCCCTTACCAATAAACCTAAACAATAAACAATCACACGCAGACTCAAACAAATGCACACAGGATCGTACCAATAGGAGCTGCTTAATCCAGGTATTCACCTGAATCAAAGGGGATAGAAGACATTTAGGAATTGAACATTTTACTTGATGTCTGCTCACATTTTCTCGCTCGTTCACAAAGCCTGTTTAATAAAAAAATGGATGCTTCTAGTTCTCACCTGGGTTGCTGGATCCGTCATCAATGAACTGCATGTCATCGACTGTGTCAGGGGACTGGAAGACAAGAAGAGGCAGTAAATTTCTGAGCGTGCGAGCGGGTGTTTCAGTGAACTGTATCCCAGGGGAGGCCTCCACCATGAGCAGGGGAGCTTGCAGCGAGAAGATGTGCCAGCCGCTCACTGACGCTTAGCAGAGAGCACTGAGGCTCCCGATCTGTCAGCCTACAGCCACAGTACCCCTACTGGACTAACCCCGTGTTAAAAGAAAAGGGAGGTTATGTTAGGTCATCAGTTCCGGGTTTATTGTGTGTGGTGCAGCCAAATCCACAAAGAGACAGCAAACAGAGCAACAGCGTAGCACCAATACGAGTCACCAAGGCACAACAGAAAACCAAGCAGAATGTAAACGTCTTTGTGCTTGTGCTAATGCTGTTAATCAATACGGTCCCTTCTTGTTATACATATTTAACTCCAGGAGCACTATGAACTGCATGTTTAGGGTCTAAAACTTAACTTAGCATTAATTAGTTTGACAATCTTAGCTGTGGAGTTCAATTGGAGGACACTGGTTGTTTGAGGATGTTCATTTAGATCACTTGTTATCTGTTTACTACTTTGGTATTGTCCTCTCTTACAGATACTCTGTTTGCATAAATATTCTTAATAAATTTAAATTTACGTCATGTGGATGGCTAGCTTTTTACTACCCTCTTATATTTATATTTTTGTAAAAACTGCATTATTGCCAATTGGTTACATGGATTCTGCTGTCATGTGACCCTCAGCCTGCAGATGGTAGTGGTCCATGTCTCGTTCTAGTACTTTCTTTATAGTCAACATGCTGGTTAACACATAAATTCTAAACACTGTTTCTGTACGCTCATATGCAGAAGTCTGAGGTGTTATGTGAACACTTAAATACAGTGATGTCAAGTCTACTACGTCCACCAAATGGGGACCAAACTGAGGCCATGGTGCAACAACTAAACATCACAGGGTCTCAGACACACACAACCATGGATCCCCAAAAATTTAAGACCACTTCCAGACAAGCACTGGTCTCTCAGGCTCCTCCAGGATTCTCCTGCTTCCCCTCCCAAAAACGGAACAAAACGTCTACCCTTATGACAGCACAGGAACACACTCTTCAGAAGAGTCAAAGCACGAGAAGAAGTCTAATGGAGGACGTTTATCCTCTGCATGATATGAAACCCATGCGTGCAGCAAGACAGCTGATGGAAGTGGACGTGGGAGTGGATGAGATGCAGAGTTTGCGGCTTTTCCCCCCCGGAACCAATCCTGGTTAGTGGGATCAAAAATCTGTTTGCATTAGTGCTACAGTCTGTGATTGATTAGTGAGCTGAGAGATTGATGAGGTGAATGGTTACTGCAAGAGATATTTGTTTAGTCGTGAGATGTAAGGAGGAACCAGGACCAAGGAGGGAGAAGGGGGGGGGGGGGAACCCAGGGCTGAGTTGGGCTGTCATTCATGTAGAGTTTTTTTCATTGTGAGTTAGTGAGACAAACCACTAGAGTGCAGAGCAGACAGTTCTGATCAATCACTGAGACCAAACCTAAACTTAGATTGCACTGATGCCTCTTGATTAACAGGAAAAACTAAAGGGGGGAGGCAGCAGGAGAAGCCAGGGGGAGGAGGGAGGAGGCCAGAGCTCTGGGAGCTCAGCATGCAGCCAATACCTGGATGTCGTATACGGGTTTGGAAGAAGGAATGGCGGCAAACTGTCGGTAGTCAAACTTCTTTGACGACAGGGACTAGAAGGATAGCAAACAGGGATGAGCAGAGGTCAAGGAAGGGGGAGAAGAGGAAACAAAGGAGAGAGGAGAAAGAAGAGTGTAGGACAAAGTAAAAAAGAGAAGATTGAGGAAGGCAAATGTCAAAGGAGAGAAGGACAAAGGAATAGGAGAAAAGGATGAGGGGATAGAATAAGGGGAGATGAGAGGCAGAGAGGCTAATGGATGATTCAAACAGCCAGTTGTGGCTGATCAGCTAAAGTGACAATGAGCAAAATGATGGATTAATGTCAATGTGTTTGATGCAATCCTAGACTTTTCCCTTTTCAGCGTGTGAACCAGCTTTTTGTGTTGCTGTTATCAAGCGAAGCTCCTTAAATTCAACTGCAGTCAGTGTTAGAGCATTGTTCAAATATTTGTTGACTCATCATTATGAAGTGTGCCTAAAAGATGTTGTAAACAGTTCACATTTTCACAAAGGCCAGGGGAAACATCAGATCATCAAAAGACATATTAGAGGTTTAGTGCTTACCAGTCTGCCTGGAGAGGTAAGTCCCCGAGGACTGAGCTCTGTGAGGGGAAACACAGGAAGTGTAAAGTTAAAACAAAAGCTTGCGTCATGAAGATGGTACTAAATTATGAAACAAAGTGAGGAAATTAAGGTGAAAAGTTTCTTTAAAAAATGACATACTTGTTATGATCTAACAGAGATCCGACATTTGTTAGCCAACCTGAGATGTTTTAAGTTCCGTTACTCATACACAGTTCAGAAGGTGGTAGTGGTCGTAGTTTATTCAGCAGTTATGGTGTCTATGATGAGTTAACCGTGTAAACACTTCTAAGTGAACAGAAGCTTCTTACCATCCATAGGTGTGGGTGAGGGCGTGGGGGCGGGCGAGGGTGACTCCGTCAGCTGGTCTAGTGTGCCGCGTTTCTTCCCGTCCCGAGACTTGGCGATGACCATCTGGGCTTTTAGTGCGTCCTGCTCCAGGGACTTCATTCTACAAGAGAAAGAACCACCATCGAATAAATAATGAGCGAAAAGATGTCGAGAAACGGCGATACAAAAACCTAAAGGAGGCACACAGCCCTTAATGTGGATGAAGTGCCCGTCACTACAATTTGTCGGGTGCTCCTTGTCCTGGTTTGCTGTGACGGCCAGTTTCACTTCTGTTTCTCACAAGTCATTCCAGGAAAAGGACGACCTACTGCTAGTAGGCTTACCCTCAACTCACAAATAGCTTGCAAACTTACTATGTGTTAGTTCAAATAATATGAAAATCAACAGAACAGCAAGACGCAAATGAAAAGAGTGCTGCAGAGAGGGAGGGGGGACAAGACAGATAATAGAGGGGGGACCAGAGGAAGCTAGAAACAGCAAAGACGTGCAGAAGCAAGACAGCACTGGAAAGGCAGTGAAGCACTGTCACAGTGTCGCTGCAAGTGCTTGCTTGGACCTTTCCCAACTCGGCCTCTAGCAAAATACCCCAAAGCACCCCAGCACACCCCACGATGCCGTGCGTCTGGCCCTGGTGGCTGAGGGCCGAGGAGCAGACCTGAGCTGGGAGGCAGCAGAGGACGAAGTAGAGGAGGTGGGGGGCTGGGGGGGCTCGGCCGTGCCCTGAGACGCCCTCACTCTGGCCTGGTAGAGTCTCTTAGCCAGGTCCTGCTCATACTGCCTAACATCCTCCTCTAGGCCGTAAGGCCTGGGCACAGAGAGGCCGGGGAGTGGGTGAACGAGAGGAGGATGGGACAGGATGGGAAGAACACCAGCATGAGGGGGAGAAGAAGGAGAGAAAGGCATAGAGACAGAAAAGAGGAGAAAACCAAGGAATGGAAGGTAAAAGACACGTTTAGAGCGTCAGGAATAAAAATCAAGACAGTTTTTAGAGACACAAATATAGAGAGAGGATAGGAGATAAAGTAACCCATACACACATAGCAGGCTGCTGTCATAACTGAAACATCTGTGAACTAACTCTTGGGTTGGCTGCAACTAAAATATACCAGGGAAAAAACCCTGAACCTCTCATATGACAAACTGTTAGGAAATCTGGACATCCACTACACCTGGCACAGAAAGATATAAAGGCTTAATGAAAGACACAAAAAGGCCCTTGATATTTACCGCGCGGCCCTCCACATGGCTCTCTTCTCGGCCTCCAGAGCTCGTTTCTCAGCAGGGGACAGATCCTTGTCCAGGGCCACGGCCAGCTCTGGGCTCTGCATCCGGAGCCTCTCTTGATGTCTGCGCTCGGCTTTGGCTGTGCGGATGGGAGCAGCTGACTCCCCAGGGTACACCGGGATCAGACTGACAAGACGCACAAGGAGCAGTGATAAGTACAGTGAAAAAACAAACAACAACACAAGATTCAATGGTGCTGTGTTCAGTGTAATTACCCTGCCATGGAGTTGGGCCTCTGCTCCAGCCTGAAGCTGTCCTCCAATGAATTCCTCTGAGAGTCTCCCTTTCCATCCACAGATGAAGGCCTGACCACAACAAACAATTAGCTCAAGAAACAGAACAAAGACATCAAAGCTTTGATAAGTAGTAACTTCTTACCCTGAGCTGCCGCAGTAGCTGGGCGGTGTGACGTTGTAGATGGGTGGTGTGGAGCAGTGCTGCGATGGGGTAGAAGCTGGCTCCACCTTGTACTCCACTCCATCCAGCAGCACTTTGCCAGAGGCCTTCATCTGCGCCATCTGCTTAGCCAGGTCCTCCTCCTCATCCTCCTCATCTTCATCCATCAGGTACTCCCTCGCCCGCTGCTCAAACTTCCTCTCTTGGGTGAGAGAAACACACAGGTATGTTCACTTCAGTCAGATACTTTATTCGCTACTGGCTAAAGGATGCTCAGGGACACACAGGAGAAACAAACCTTCTTCCTCCCTCATTTTCTTGAGGTCATCTTCTCCAACAAGAGACACTCGAGGTTTAGGTTTTTCTGGTGTCTGCTGTTTCACGTCAATCTCAAAATACTTCTGTCTGTCCCTGAAAGAACGCTGCTCCGGGCTGCTCTTACCGCCAGGAGAAGGACTCTGAGAAACAAGACACACAATACTAAATTATGACCTGTGAAAAACCTTTGCAAAAGAAAGACTAATATTTTAAAGTTTTTGAATTGCTTATTCCATTGTTGCACAGCTATTTGCAAAAGAGCAGCAGATGCCAGAGGAACAAGAAGAAAGAAAAATCAGAACTCTTAAGAGAACCCAGCACCATGAAGCTGACTTTAGATCAATTAACTGCAAAGTGTCACTATCGACAGAAGTAACACGGCTGTCTCCCAGAGTCCAGGAGCAGAGACGCCACCAACACCAACGCTCAAAGCCAAGCACACCACAGCCTGGACGACGAACAGCGCCGCTGTCCATGTGGCGGAGTCGGTGGGTACCTGCAGTTCCATGCTCGGCCTGGAGAAGCGAGGCACTGCTGCCAGGCTCATATACTCCCTGCGGGGGGAGGGCCTGTCGGACGGACTTTTACCATCCTGACCATCTATGTCATCAAACACCTCGTTGATCAACTCAGGCTGAAAAGGCCACAGAGGTTGTCACCAAACTGTCACACTAAGACGACTTAGAGCCGGGGGGGGGGGGGGGAGTTTATTTCTTCAGTATGTAACTACAGTAACCTAGACATGCTTCTACATTATGTTCTTGTAGCTGACGATTAAAAATGATCCTGTTAAAAAATAATAAAGAACTAACTGCTGTAACTTCAATGATAAGAGAGAACTCGTCCATGAACACAAATTTACATTTCTTCTTCATCAAATTTAGTTGCATTATTAGTTTTGACCACCTAAGCAGACAATTTGGTCCCGGTTCTTTCTTTTTTTTTGTCATAGAAAATAATTTGTTTTTCACTCATCGTCTCTTGTCAAGAATTGTTTCCTCCATTTCAACAAAATTATTTAAATGTCGTGCCTGCAGGCTGAACTGGACTTTCAAAAACATCCCTACAACTGCTGGACAAGGAAGGCAACACATCCCATAATGCAACACTGGTCCTTTCATCAAGCTGAAAAAATATCTGATGTTTTGAACATGTACATTTTAGTGGTTGAACATAATTTAACACCAAATGGAACAAAAGTATCGTATATTCTTCTCAGTGGACACATCAGGCAGCTCTTCACTACATTTTATGGTTCATGTTGGACTCACCTCTGGAGAAGGCTGCTGGAAATTGTTCCTCACACCGTACAGTTCCTGTTGGGAGCAGCAGAATGAGCGGACAGTCAATAAATGAAGTGAACGGAGACTGAGGACGAACACAGAGGAACAGAGCAGGCAGATATAAAACGTACAAAAAAGGGGAAAGTGATTCAATATTAGTACACGAGCCACACATGGATCGACGAATGGATCAAGACTCAACAGCAGAATGAAAGATGATGTCTCTGAAGTACGAAAAAAACCAACGATGAACGCATTCCACACGTCACAGCACGTCACAGGCCCCCTGACACGGCGCAGGATCCTTAAAGGACAACCTGCTCCAGTCAGGAGGGGGCGGGGGGGTAGATCAACCATCAGCACAGCATGCTTGTTTGTTGTTGTGACCCGGAGGAGCCCGGGCGGCACGGCCTACCTGCGGCGGCTCCAGCACTGCGAGTGAGCGAGGCACGGCGGCAAATGCCTTGTATGCCTGCTTGACATTCATGGGGAACTCGTCGGGCGAGGTGGGGGAGGGGGCGCGAGGCTGCAGGGGGGAGGTTGGAGGGTAAGGAAGGGGTTATGGAGGAGATGTGGTAGGATCATGAGGAAGAGGAGCCAAGGGGAGGAAGAGGACGGACAGACAGAGACATGGAGGAGAGGGTAAACTATGAAAAAAAAAAACCAGCAGAGTTGAAGAAGACTTTGGAGGAGAACAGATGAAGAGCATGGCGGCTGGTTTCATGTGACAGACGAGGGGAGTATGCCAGAGAAAAACACACAGTAGGGCCTGTAGAGCTCGAAGCCCATTACAATTTTTTTTCTGGATGAGTTCATGAGAAGGTGTGAGATGAAATCAGAGCTTCTTAAGGAAGAAATAAGTGGAAATTTTCAGAAAGCTGCAATTATAAGAATATATATTTATCTATTTCAGGAGGATGCTTCCTTTGCTGGTGTACTTCAATCACCGAAGCTCCAGGTGTGCCTGTGGATCTCAGACAGCAGCACCTGCACAGACTCAACTCCCCTGTGTGTTCAAATAAAAGCCTTCATTTCTTTAGTTCTAGTCTCTTCAGAAACAAAAATCCTTCTTTTGGCACACCGTTCTGCATCTCTGCTGTAAGACTGAGTGAGTGTTTTTGGAGCTGTGCGGTCAGAGCGGGGCGGCACAGAGCTGAGAGTGGAGAGAAAACAGCACTATGTGGTGGTGAGGGGTCTTACAGAGGTCTGGGAGTTGAAGGGGGAGGGGCCATGCTGGAAGGGGTTTGGACTGTGGCCTTCCGGAGTGGCGGGGGAGGTACTTTGACGAACACGCCCGACAGGTTGGATGGCACCCGGCCGCGTCTGGAGGGGACAAACATTTCACACTCGAGATCAGTTACATCAGTTTTTGTATCATTTTTAAAAATGTAAACAGACTATTGTATTGACCACAAAGAAAAAGATGACAGACACAACATGAAAACTGAAAATGAATGGGAGCTAACGCTGAGTCATAATCAGAGCATCAGTAACCCGTCACTCATTTCTCTTTGGTGTTTAAAAGCTCAAAACAAATTTTCACCAAACCAGACAGTGACTTCTTAAATTTTAACATATCATTTAAAAATATCTTCTGAAAGTCAGAAATGTTTCAGTTGTTCTTTCAGGTTTGGTGACTCTTTAAGTTTTCAATTCTTAAAAACCTTTAAGTCAATCCCATTCACATATGTCTGTCTGATATCTATTTCATTGACTTTTTTAATCCATTTCTGTTCTACTTAAAAGTTCTTTTCCACACTCACTGATGATGAAGTTTCATCCCTGGCATTAGGAGTGGAGGTGTAATGAATGCTTGCCTGAAAACACAAAATAAAATGTAACAAAATAAATAAAAAATAAAGCAGTGAAGTAAAAAAAAAAGCATGAGCTGGCAGCATCAGCATGAGCTTCAACCAACAATGCAAACACACGATCACATTTCTACGATGGGACGAACACCACTGACGTTCATTTCGATAATTTGATTGCGGGTTTTAAGTCCCATTTTGCAAAGCTGATGGCATAATTTCCCTCATTAGATAAATGCATAGTCTTTGGTCTACAGTGGGGACAGTGCTCCAGGAAACATCGTGTGATAGAAGATAAAGCTTGTCAGTAGAAAGATCAGTCAAAATGCTTTCTCTCTGATAGATGCACATCCGTCGGCACGAGGCAAAAAGCTCCAGTCATCATTTGGCCGTGGAGAAGCAGTCACATGCTTTTCAGACTGTAGCAGACATGAGCTGATGTGTTTTATTAACACAGTATGATTACATGCACAGGTAAGCTGAGCTTTGGTTATGGCTCCATTAGGTTATTTTATCAGACTACTGTCCAAGCACCAGGTGGACGTGTGTCTGACTCTGCTACAGTAAGTGGTGATACGTCCTCTCTTAGTATTAGACCTTCTTCTGGGTTACCTAATGCGACACATGCCAAACAATCTGCCAACAAGTTAGCAAGCTGCAGACTGGTTGAATGTGTAATGGTCAAACATGGACATTTATACGGCTCTGTACATTCTCGCTTTAGCACTCCCCATGTTGATACCTTTGGTCTTTTTTTCCTATCTTTCTTCTAAGTATTTTTGCTTTTGGCCTCAGGGTCAAAGCCCAGAGCACAAACTGTGGAGCATGCATAGGAAGCCAGTGCCGATTTGGGCTGGTTGAGGTGTAATACATGCACGAGTAATTGCATTCCCAACCACATTAGCTCGGTATGTAAGTCCGACTTTGAGAAATTCAACGATTTCAGTGGGACTAACATGATTACATGTATTTTAAAAGTCCAGTTTTCATAAAGTGTTGGTCGGACTTACACAATAAATCAACTTTTTGAAACATCATGTAAACGTACTGACAGAAAGAGGTCGCAGAGCAGCAGACTCATGTGCTATATTTTGTATTCATAGTCCAGGCCAGAGCAGAAAGGGCCACAAGACCCACTTACGAAGCGGGTCTCCCTGCCTGCACAGACGGAGCTGTTTGAAGAGTGGAGGCCGGGCTACAGGCAGGAGGATAGGTCACAAGAGTCACAGTGAAATATATCTTCTCTAACGGCAGAAATGACTCATGGAAAAATGAGAAAACAAAGTAAAAAGATGACAGGAGACAAGATGATGAGTCCTGAAAAGAGTGCAAGGTGTTTAGGCTGCTCACCGGTTGAATTGTGGGCGAGTATGGCGCTTCCCTGATTGGGCTGTCCGTCCGAGTGAAGTCGGAGGAGGAACCCTGGAAAAACAAACAGCAGAAAACAGTTAACAGTACAGAAAATCCAGTAAATGTAACAAACAAGCTCTTGCTTATAGGCATGCACTTTTCTGTGCTCCCTGCAGGTCGTGGTCCTTCATGACTTATGACCTCCCTCGCAGCTGTTAGGACAGAAATTCCCGTCGCTCCTGACGATGTTCTGACTATGTGCCTGAATACCTCATGAGGTGCTACTAGCTCTGTGCTCACAGCAACAACAAAAAACATGCACCAGTTCAGCTTGTTGTGAAACAGAGGAAGATACACAGATTGGACACACAGTTCCTGAGAGTAAACAAGAGTCCTGGTAACCCCTGACAACAGTAGAGCTAAGACTCATAAAACCATGTGTTAGGATTTGATTTTCATTGGGGCCAAATTAAGATTGCGGTCCAGGCCAACACATGAGCTGAAATTTGGTGTAAAGTTCTGAAAACAAGGGAAGCTGTAGGTTTCAGCAGTGCTTCTCTGTAGAGTCGACACTTTCAGGAACATCTCTCATATTAAAAACGGTTGTGGCATTTCTTAGTTGATTAAACTAAATGATCACAACCACTTTAAATGTCCAATAAGCAGTTGAAAAATCCAAAGATTTCTGTCTTTAAAGCAGAGAAAGCACAAGCAAATCTAATGGCAAGAATCAGACATTTATGTTAAGTGAGGTTTATGCACATTTGTTTCAGGTCTTCATCCATTTCAAAGATGTATGCACATTATTTAACATTATGGTAGAGCACAGTTGGATATACAAACACATGATGTGTCTGGTAGAAGACACTTCTTCTGATCATTTTGGACAATAAATTCTGCAGATCTTGATGCAAATGTCAGATCCATTTCAGTAGAAGTGAGCAAAACGACAAACAGTGCACAGTAACACACCATGCTTCCTCCAAACCACACTCAGGCAGGCGGCTTGCCTTGCTGAACAACCAGGGCTGCAGTTGGCCCTGCTTCCCGTAACCCACAGGAGGCCCTGACAGGATCTGCTCTGCAGGTGGACGGCCTTTTCCTCTGCGATTGGCCACTAAGAAGGGGTTCTCTTTGAAGCAGATCGGCTGAGAGTCCACCAGACATTCCTCCTCTTCTTCTGCTGCAAATGTTGATGAATCGATGGTTGTTGATGAGCCAGCACTGTCAGACGCAGCGGTCCCATTGGGGGAGAACTGATGATGAAGATCGTGATGTGAGTTCAGACCGAGGGAGGACTCGGGGTCCATGTGGCTGAGAGGTTTTGATGGGTGGACTAAACCAAAGCCCAAGGGCTCTAAAGGGGCTCCGTACTGAGCCTGAAGGGGGGCCTCCATGGGAGCGGTCAGATTTATAGAGGTAGAAAACTGGACAGGAAAGAGGGAGGACAGATGGAGTAAACACACTGGCAGGAAAAGCCAGAGTCACACAAACTGAAACACACAAAGGAAATTATAGGATGTAGAATTTAAAAGGGTGAAACTGGGAGCTTTAAAAGGTCCTCCATTTCAAGTTTAAATAAGTCTCAGAGCTCCCCGAAACATGTCTGTGAAGTTTCTTCTAAATCCACTCTGATCCTGTATTTGAGCATGTCTATAAACCCCTCTATTTCAGCCCTGATCAGAACAGGCTGTTTCTGTGTCTGTAGCTTTAAATGTAAATGAGCTGTGTCTGACCACGCCCCCTCTCTGGAAGGTCTTGGGTGGCTCTGGCTTTCTCGCTCCATGTTCTATTCTTCACGATGAGAAGTCAGAACAAACACCTAGCTGTGGGAGTGTCACCCACCTGGGGGAGGGGTTACTGCCCTTTGCGACTCCAGGCAAATCTGTAGTTTTGGCCTTTGAATAATAATCTGAGTATAGAATCATTTTTAATTTGACACAATTTTATCAGGTTAATGATGAAGATGTGTTTTGTGACGTAAGCCAATGCCTGTCGACTTGAAAGAAATGATGCAAAAACAAGAAAACTTTTCGCCAAGAAACTCAAAGCTACTTTAAAAAAGAGTAAAGGCATTCCCCTCTGACTTGTGTGCTTCTTTAAATAGACACTTGACACACGAGTCTACATCTGCCCAAAAGGGTTTCTCACATCACTAAATCTTTCTCGAAGCTTAAAGATAAGAGTCTCTGCGCTCATCATTCATGACTCGTTAGCTGCTGCTGTATGCTAACAGACACGTTACCGCAATCCAGGCTCTTGGCCTCTGCTTTAAATAAACACATTATCAGTTTAGCGAGACATTCTGGCTCCAGTTAACTTTCGGAGCTGACTGTACTGAAACCCAGAGGAGGGTGGAGGGTGATGTCACTGAGGGAGGGGAGAAAAATATGCAGTGTTTCATCCAGAGACATGCAAAGAAACCTGACGCTGCCGAAGTGTCATGTTTCTATAGATGTGACACTGAGAAGTACCACCTAAAAGACTTAAGTCAGCCCAGATAACCAACCAGCTCTGGATGTTATCAGAAGTGACCCTGACTGTTAAAATAGAAGCACTAAGAATACAACAAGCATTGTGAGGCAGTAATGTGGCTCTCTACATGCTGACTATAAGAGTCTGTGGTGGGATGAGGGTCAGTGGGATGGAATGTGAACGAGTGCCCTTTTGGCTCTGACACAGAGACTGTGAGGGACAGCTGGGGTGTGTGAGAGAGACTGCTGTTGGTCCACTGACATGCCAACACGCTGAGCCGGCCATGCTGGGAAAGAGCGGCCACGAGTTACTAAATATCTCGGATTCCCCTCGCTTTACAACAGAATTATATTTGCTTCTCAGAAAGAGATTTATTTGGCAGAACTTTTTTCACAGATTGAAAAAAAAAAAAAAAAAACAACCTCCACTCTCTTTTTCATCTCATATTTGAAACCCAAAGTTATGATGTTTTAGTAATTTCACTTCTGAGTTCCCATTTTATAATTTTTCTTATTTCACATTATTGAACACTCGTCTCCATCTTGGTTAGTAAACTGAAGTAAGCCCTGCACTGGGTTGCTCTTATTGCTCTTGACTAAGCGCGACCCTAACTGCTGAGTCATTATTCAGTCTTATCGTGGACTTGATGACGGTTGCACCAACAGATGTTTAGCCTCGACTTCACAACAACTTGATTTTTACAATACACATCCATATACATTCCTAGCAAAGCTGTACGTAACTATCGCTTCTGCTGTCTTGCTAATTTATAGACACTCATTTCTAACTTGCAGCGATGTATTTAGGAAACAAAGACAGGCTGAGATGAACTAAAAGAGGTGTTCAGCTAACTTCAAAGTAGTCCAATGTAAATAAGAATCAGAACAAGCAGTGGACCTAAAGAGAAATATTGGAGGCCATAAAGCGTTTCAGAAAAGGAGGAAAAACCTCCAGAGCAAGTCGCATGACTAAAGCTTCCTCAGTAAAAAAAAAAAAAAAAAGATTAAAAATAATCATTCAGTGGATATGTTTCAAGGAACTGCATCTCGAATCGATAGTCCTTTGCACCTTAATAAATTTGCCTCAACTGATTTGTGTGCTCAAGCATTTTCTTTGGTTCCTGTATTGAAGGTGTCCCTCTGACTTATTTTATTATTCGTCTATAATCCTTCTCTGAGAGCACCGACTTCCATTTGTTGTTGAGCTTCCTTCTACTTTCCTAAACGGTTAAGTTATGACCACCGTTTGAGTGTGACCAGGTCCTTTATCCTTTTTGTCAGGCATCTGGCGTTTAAATATATGAAAAAGTTCTCAATGAAGGACACTAAACGTTAAAACTCTTAATCACAAATCTTAAACTTGTCTCTTTCCTGCTCAGTGACATCTTGTGCCTTACATCTCACTATGCCATTTCTACTGCATACTATTTAACGTTTCTAAAAATATTCTTAATTTGAGTCTTAATGCACTTTTTGTCTTTTAGCTGCATCTGCTTGCAAACACCTATTGGGACGTGACAAAGGGTCACCACAGTTAGAGCAGGAACACGTGAGCTGGAGCCGCAAACCTAGCTCTAATGCAGCGAGCATTAACAGCTGCAATTGAAAAGTGGTTTAAGTTCTCCTGGACAATCTCACAGGCCACAGAGCTACAAGCAGGGCACAAAAATAAAGTTATTATAGCCTTCAATGTGAGGCTTACACAACTTGCAAAAGGAGTGCATTATTCAGTGTGACCCAGATCTCAATAAGAAGCACTGCAATGGATTTAAAAAAGTATAGGATCCAAACTAGTTAGTTTCATAATATCTTTCTGTAACAGTTAAATATGGATCAAATCAAGTGGAGAAGGAAAGACTAAAAACAGAAGAAAGACAAATACAAAGAAAGAGAAGAAAAAGGATAGAGCGTCTACCTGTAGGTGACAAGAGGACAGAGCCGTGCGTCCACTCAAGCTTACTCCTCCGAGAACTTTGGGAACACAAACTAAAGCACTTGTCTGCTCCTAGCCGATACCCTCATTCCCCGTCCAACACCCCACCCACCAGAGAGCCTCCATCCAATTCAGAGCCAGATGTAGGTTTAAAATATCGCCGAGGATAGGCCGTTTGATAGTGGGCAGCTGTCCCCTTCCCCCCTCTCGCCACCTCTTTCACACACACACACTTTTTTTTTTTTTCTTTCCCCCAGACAGTGCCTGCCCTCTGGCCATGCTTCCTTTGAGTTTCCACCGTCTTCTGTAGTTTGTAGAAACTTCCAGCCATCCTTCTCATACAGCCTCTTTCATTTCTCTTCATTTTCTTGATCTTGTGCTTCTATCTGGACGAGTCTGATCCTTTTCCAGAGTTCTTCATCAGCAGTCGGTGTCCATATCACTTCTTTAATCCAGGTCCTTCTAATGTAGGACAACATGACAACTGATGGGACATGTTGTATGACTTTGGCCTTCTGTAATGTTGACTTGGGGGTTATGCACATGGAGAGAGGTTAACATTCCTGCTCCTGGAAGGGGCAACTGGTGGGCTCTGGGTCACTCATTTTCACATAAACACAAAGGATTCCATGAAGAGGTCTATTCTGAGCCGTGAAGGCCACTTCTTACATAGTCCGCACGGAAATACAAGTAACTTACAAACCCCGAGAGCACTGCGCTCTTTTGAAATCATGTTGCAAAGAAAACAGGATTCACAACGTGGCAAACAGTCTTACCCTGTTAACCTTCTGCAGACTGGTGGTGGGCAGTGCAGCCAGGGTTTTGTAGTCAAGTTTTAGAGGTCCAGTGCCGATGTTCTGAAGAGAAATACATAGAAAAGAGAGGTGAGAAGGAGAGTAAGCTGAGGTGATCTACACAACAAGTAGAGTCTATTCAAAGTGAATGAGCTTTACTGGAGGAGACTTTATAGAATTGTAGAGAATCACATCTACAAAGAAAGAGGCTCTGCAGGATGTATGATTCAGCAGACGATATCCCTCAATGACCTATGAGTGATGGCTTATGTAAGGTGTCTGGTTATATTCTAAATCTAATGACGAACTGTTAATAGTACAGAATGTTGTCTATAGAAACTGACTCAGCTACTGAACACGGGACTTCAGTGCGTTGGACTGGCGCTGAAATATTTTGTTTTTATATTCCTCCACATTCTTACAATTTAAAACTGTTTAAGTTACATTTTCCAAAAGACACAATTGCTCCTTAAAAGTGTTGGAGCGCGATGCACACTGACGCTGTAAGGTCTCGTGTAAGTTGTAAATATAAATAAATCAACAATTTCTCCTGAAGAGATATTGTTGTAAATCCTGTCTCTGCCAAAGAGATAAATGCAGAGTTGCATTTTCCAACTCATCATGATGAGCTCAGTTTAAGAGTATTATATACATGAAACTTCAATCTACTTCATCCTAACCTTCTTGCTCACCTTTTACCTTTATGGCATGCAAGGACATACCTCCCTGTTTGTTGTTGATGAAGCAAACATCTAAAGTGTATAAATATCTGACAATAAACCTGACTTTTTCCAGTAAAGCTTAGCCAGTTTCAATGTTGTTGCAGACTGATTTGTCAAACAAGGAGTGTTGTTTTCTCTCAAAAGCCAGTGATAAATGTGGAGGAATAGCTATGTTTCTGAAGCCCTTTGTGCACAGACTGGAAGCTAGTCCGCAGAGCTGCCGATGAGGAGTTTCTCACCTCTGTCTCCTCTTCTAGCAGGCGAGTTGCCTCCTCACGCTCCATACGCATACGCTCCTTCACCATGAGAGGAAGAGGAGGAGGAGGAGGAGGAGGAGGAGGAAGAGAGTTCACCCAACCACACACAGCCACACAGTAATGCAATGAGAGGGGAGGATGGAGGATTTACAGAAGAAGAAAGAAGTGTTAGAGAGGGTGAAGTGGAGAAAAAAAAACAGCAGTGGGAAGGTGGTATGGAGATGGGATGATTGGATGATTTTTGTATCACACCAAACACACCAAAGGTAAAGGAGAGAGAAACAGAAGGGAAAGGAAGGATAGAGTTTGCACACGTTAGAAAGTCCTCTAGTCATTAGCTATGGGAGCAGAAAAAGCATGCAAGGTGGGACATTGCAGGAATAGATCTGTCAAACACAATACCCACACGAGGTGCAACGGAGAAGCTTCATTCAGCCGATAACAAACCAAACTTTACTGACTTGAAGGCTCCACTCTTACACATATTTTGCGTTTTTCTCCGATCTACGATGGAGCAATATCTGAAATCTCCTGCCTGCAGTGTGGCCTTCTATCTGCTAATCTGACTTTTACCTCAAGCCTCCTAATCGCATTAATAGATTTTCAGTTCCACTTACCACTTTCTCCATCTCTTCTCGCTCCCACTGCGACGTTTCTCTCACCATCTCAGACTCCTGGAAAAAAGATTTTATAAAGGCTTACAGTTCATCCTTGTAATCTTTTAGGAAGCACTGCCTGCTCTGATAGAGATCGTACGACTAAATAAAATTGCATGCATTGGGAAAAACAAAAAAACTAGCCAACCAACTAGCCCCCTGACATTCCTCTAGTATGGGCAGTCTCCCAAAAGCTAATCTGGACAAAATAAACAACTGTGCTGGCGTTTTCTGTGTGCTGAAGTGAAAGATGGGTATGTGTGGTGTTCATGGTTGGAGTGATTCAAACTCTGCTGTTGTTAAAAATTCCACCTGCTGAAACCAAACTGCTGCGGAAGCACTGCGTTGCTGCGAACAAAAACATCTGATTCACGTGCTGACTTGACCACTCCTGTTACCAAACTCCCCAAACAGTTTCAGTTCTCTGGGCTTTTCTCTGCCTCTCCGTTCATCAATCAACACTGTTTGTGCCGTGCCGTACCTTCTGCATGATGTCTATCTCCTCTGGGCTCAGGTCTCGGTCTATAGAAGAGATGCTCTCCATGCTGTTCTTACGGACGATGCCTGACGCAAACGGGTTCGCAATGATGCCAGGAGACGCCTAGATTAAAACAGATTAAAAAGAAAAGTAATTAAAATTAAAACAACAGATCAGGACAGTTTGAGAAAAGGACACAGCTGGTATTCAATTGATCAGATAAAGTAGATTTCTGTATGAGGATTTATATTTCAATTGAAATAAAGACATTAAAGGTAATTTCCAGTATATTCTACATACATTTAACATTTCTATTAATTGTTTTCTTCTTCTCTGTCAGTGAAATAACATTTGTTTTAAAATCCAGTTGCTTTTTGGTATCTCACCTCTACAGCAGCCACTTTTCGAGGGTCGAAGCCGTCACACACCAGCATGCACAGAGAGTCTCCTACAGCTCTGAGCACTCGCACCGCCTCCGTGTGCGTCATCCCCAGCAGGCTGTGGTTGTTCACCTCCAGGATACGCATGCCAACCTGCAGTCTGCTGTCTCTCGCCGCCGCCCCGGTCGAACTCACCTGTTTGAGAATCAACCAAAGTGTGGATGAGTTAAAGACCACAACTAGTGATGACCGTCTGACAACATCTTGAGGATTCAAATGCATACTTAAGATGGTTCATTTTATCTATCGTTTACTCCCAAGTCTTTGTTCTATAATTTTTCCATAAAAGAATAAAAAAGTTTAATCAATCGGACTGTTTCTTAACACTTCTGCAACCACTTGAAGTAAAGCAGTGAAGTAAAGAGTTGATTGAATTGAAAACATCTTGTATATGAGATATTTTAAGAACCTTTGAGATAAAGATGCCTTCATCTGTTTGATCAAAGGGGTTTCCCGCATGACCCTTTGCCCCTCCACGTATACTGATGCCGAGCTTCTCCCCTGGCTGCTTCTGGATCACAATTTCCTGCAATGACATGAAGCCAGCTCGTAAGGCAGGGAGTGTTGAGCGTGTGTGTGTGTTGGTGTGTGTATTTTTTTTTAAATGACAGTCTCACCTGCATCCCAGGTGGTGAGGGGTCCCTCCGTACTAACATCCGGATCTCTTGCTTGTTGGCCAGCAGCGCTCGCACAGCTTCCTGGTGTGTGGCGTGACGCAGGTCGATGGCGTTCACTTCTAGTATCCGGTCCCCAACTCGCAGTCCACTTTGACATGCCAGGCCATGAGGGATCACCTGATGACGAGACGGGCGTGAGGACAGTGAGACACATTATTTAGGAGAGCCATATACTTTTAAAATGGACAACAGGAATTTCGCTATGTCTTTAAAAGTTTCACCTTCGATATGAACACCCCGGGTTCATTGACGCCAAACGGGTGGCTGGCATGATCGCTGCCACCCACAATACTCAGACCCAGAGGACCACCTGACTTCATCAGGATCACCTCCTGTGAAGATCAAAAGAAGGAGATTTGAGGTTTTGAAAATGTTTCCTGCCTAAATCTAATAAAGTGAATCACACAAATATCAGGTGACAGTCATATCTACATCTATACTTCCTCAACAACCTACTGCATGCACATTACATCTCTTTCCACTAAAGACATAACAGCAGTATCATTGCATTAGACAGCAGGGCTGATACAGCTGTTATTACCTACACTCTACACTACTGCATTATTTAAATTGGATCAATCCTCATACCATGCGCCATCTTCTCTGGAACTGGACGCCATTAGGGATAAGGTGTGCCAAATAAACAAACATTAACGCTGAATGGCTTAATGAGGCATCTACAAGCATCAACGAGCAAATCTAAAAAGCTTTTGAACATTTAAAAGAGCTGAGGTTGCTCCTGAAAGGCCTCACCTCGATGGGATACTCGTCCTCCATTTGGCTCAGGTGGTTCCCGTGAATCGAGAGGCCCTCCTCTTCCTGGTCGGGGGAATCCGAGGGCTCTGGGGGTGGAGGGGAGTGGGCTCGTGCCCGGGACTGACCTGGAGAGCCCCCTGGTGCTTTCGGGTCTCGCTCCACCAAGAGGGCGATGGTGGGGGAAGTGCCAGTAAGGAGCGCTACTGCCTGGTCATGTCTGGCCTCTGTCATGTCTACACCATTGATCTGGATCGACAGTAAAAACCAACCACGGAGGGTGTCAGCCCACCAAGAAGCTCCCAATGACAATGAGCCACGATGAGGATTGAACAGATACATGCTAGAAACCTCATGCTGCCACCAATGTCCTCTGTTTTTACTACTAAAACAAACTGACATCTAATTAAGTGAATGATTGTGAGTGAATCAAAGTGAGTACTGTTATTTTGAAGAAGAACCCAACACCTGCACAGGGCAACAGGAACAGGCGCAGGAAAAGAGGGAGCGAGGGTAACAGCGAGCTGCTGCAAGCGATGTAAGCTGAGGGAGGGCTACGAGCAAGAAAAGCTCATTTATTCCCAAATTGTCATAAAATGTCCTGAAGCCTGCGAATGACTACTTTGTGATGCTATCTTTTTATCCGTCGATTCTATATTCATGTTATCAGTTCAACACTTTCTCTGCCTTTATTTACTTAAAACACAAGTGGAAATTTCCTGAAAAAGTTTGATCTTAAGTCAACAAAGGCAGACGGGCGTCAATGACGTCTTCACCTGTGTTATCAAGATTATAATCATGAGCTTGACTAACCACGGTTTTAGTTTAGGGTTAAACTTTGAGGCATAAAGAATCTTAAAACCTTATTTCTGGTCCAAAGTGACAAGCAGAGGTCAGCACTGACCCGACAGTACCAGCTCTTACCACCGGCTGATGTGCTGCCACACCTGTTACCGTGGTAACACACGTGTTTACCACGTCAGCAGGACAGCAGGGTCAGCCCACTCCAACCCAGCACCACACCCACCACCAAGCAGGCAAGAAGATGTATTTAATGCATTAGTGAGCATGCAGATGTGTGAGAGAGAAGAGGAAGCCTACATCTAATGCGAGAGGACAATAGCTAAAAACTGTTCCAGGAAAAAAGGAGAGAGGAAACTTGGAAAGAAAGCAGAGAGGATCACCCAGAAAGCAGGAAAAAAAAGCAGTTTCACATTCAGCACACTGAAAGAGGAAACTCAGAAAGCATCACAATCAACTATCATCAGTCAGTTTAACAGTATGTGATGATAATGTGAACACAGGTGTGACTTAATGCACAACGCATGCAAGATCTACATACATGCAAAAGAGGAGGAAAGTCGAGCTTGGAGTGTAATCAGAGGAAAAACAAAAGAGCCTGTAGAAGTCATGCAGAAAAACCCCACAGCAGCAAAACATATAGTACAACCTCAATGCTCCCTGATAAAACCAAGAGAGCGACACAGTTAGCATGAGGGAGGACTTCTGGGTTCGGATTAGTAGGAGGACTGTATTAGTTCCTCTTTCAGATGCTAATGTGATATTTCTGAGTTAAGTCTTGTTTGATGTATCTTTCAAAACATGAGTTCACAGAGTATATTAAAAATGATAAACACGTGGCAAAAATCTGGAGTGTTTCCTTTACATAGTATGCTCCTGAGTTCCACATTGATATGGAAAGTATCGGCCAGTTTGAGGATTAACAGTAGCTGATATTTAAAATGTTGTCAACCCCTACTAAAGGTTGTCTTTAAAGGAATAAGCCGCTGATCTCACATCCATGAAAACCTTGTAAAGGAAACCGCGTGTTGATCTCACTGAGTACTACGATGGAGATGAGAGGACGGGGTGGGGAGTACTCACAGAGATGACTCTGTCGCCTACACGCAGTGTGCTGTCTCTGTGTGCTGCTCCACCTTCGGCAATGCGAGAGATGTAGATTCCCTAGAAACAAACAAACAAAAAAACAGATAAGACTAATTTGCAAATATTTAATCTTTTTGTTTAATTGTAATACATTACACAGCCTGCCTGTTTGTCCGAGCTACAGATAAAGGACATATCGATAATACACTATCGATATGTATGCAACTAAAGATAGTTTAGTAAATGTGAGTGGTGGACTTTTTCCATATATTTTCCACTATGTGTATTTGGGACTAAAGGGTCAGGGTCGGAGGTGAACTGGTGCAACAGGCATCTGCTATAAATCAGTGATCTCACTGTGAGTGGTAACCTGTCAGAGCGATTTCCTCTAATGTTGCTCCGACTCCCTTAATTCATTATCTCTGGAATAATGTATATTTTCTTGTAATTCTGAGATACTAGCAGCTTAAAAATTGTGACATTGAGTTTCACACTGAATAAATAATACATTAATTACACTTAATTAGCAGCATCCAAATTACATCCAAATCCTGACCCTTGAGACAAACTTTCTCCTCACTCTGGACAAATTACAAAATGTGTTTAAACAAATAAAACCGTATTGAACTCCTCGTCCACCTCACCACCACAAAATGTGTAAACACACACAGGAGCTCCTCCTCTTCCTCACACCAACCAACAACCGGCCAAAGTCACTGCATCCATTTGAAAGAGACAGCTCTTGAAAGAAAGGCAAGACTTACAGTCCGCTGCCTAAATCACAAGTTTATGAGTCCTTTCCTCTTTGTGGGCCGCGGTGAGCTGCATGCATGGGCTGAAACGCAGTGTCGCGCTGGCCCAGATATGCACCTCACCCCGTCCAATTACAGCGACTATCGGGTGTCAAGTCTGGCTATTCATATCTCCGTCTCCCTGGTGATGACTGTCAACTCTGCTGCTAGGATTGACACCGTTAAAAGGCAGTTCCTGCAAACACTTTGAGACCTGACTTCTTAACTTCCAGACCTCACCCTCTGTTAAGTGACTGAGCCTGATATAAAAAGAAAAATGAACACAAAGATGACGATGACAGAGAATCTAAAGATCAAGTCACAACAGACTTCAGATTACACCGGGAAGCAGTTTTCTGTACTTTTTCCAGAATAGCTTCAAATAGTAATTACCTGACAAAGGCCAGAGTCTTCACATTATTACAGAAGAATTATAAAGATAACGATGTAGAAATGATTATGTTTTTAAGGTTCTGTTTGCCAAAAAACAAAATATATTTCTAAATATAACAATATAAAACAGTTAATAGCATTTTCTACAACATGTTATTTATAAATACTTATTACTAATGACTAAGAAGTCTCTTGTCTCAAACATGGAGAGAAAAATAACTTTTTTGTAATCATCACCCATCATAAGTAAATTAGGGGTTGGTCTCCATACATCATTCAATACTACGTCTACCTGGAGTCAGAATCGGGTTAAGAGTGTGTTAGCATGTCTCACCGTGTCTCCTGTGCGGTAAACCGTGGAGCCTTTTCCCCCGGCGATGCTGAACCCCAGCCCTTTGTCGTTTCGGATCAGGCAGGTAGAGAGCCGCTGCTGAGGCCCGCTTGGGGTCGTCTCCAGGTTGAAAGCGAGCCCACTGCTCCGCCTCTCCCGAGGGAAGTAGTCGTCCTCTGGCCTCAGCGGTGTGGTGGTGATGGCGTTCTCTGGCTCCACCATGCGCTCGCGCAGCACCGACATGGAAACCGTAGAACCCGAGCTACGAAGAGCTTCCACTGCGGTGTGATGTTCTGCCCCATGGAGGTCCACTCCATTCACCTGAAGGAGATAGAACGATGGAATGAATTCTATATAAAGAGGAACAAGTTCCTTTAGAGTAGAGAAAACAGAAAACAATTTACCTCTAACAGTTTGTCTCCGACTTTCACCCCAGCCCTGGCTGCAGGACCCTCCTCAGATACTCTGGAGATGAAGATTCCCTGCACACACACACAAATTAAAAAGGGTCCTATATAATCGATAGCTTCTGATTCCTTCTTCAACCTAACCAGAAACCAGCTACATATCTTACCTCGTCATCTCCCTTATACGGTGTCGACCCTTTCCCTCCAGCAATGCTGATACCCAGGCCGCCTGTTTGTCTCTGGATAGTCAAGTTGTGCTGCAAGTTCAGGAGAGGGGAGTGAGCACAACAAGTGGTGAAACTCCTCATAAGACCACACAGCTCAGGACAGACTGAGAGGGAGGTGGGCCCATAATGTTGGTGTTTTTTTTTTTTGAGAGTTGATGTCATCTATTATCAAATGTTATTGTAAAGTTTAGGGCGACCTCCCTCGTTCTGCCAGAGGGTGGTGTTGGTGAGGGCGCCAGACGGATGGATTTACCTGTCTGGAGCCTAACATCAGGCCAAAGTGAAAGCTGGATGATTTGTGCCTTGAAAATTACTTCAAAGAAGGCTACATCCAAATCATCTGGCTTTGACTACTCATCTGATGGTAGACTTCAGACACGTAAACCGTCTTCAGCCTTTTTTCCATTGGACACTCATCTGATGACCCTTACTAAAAAAAACAATGTGTCTTCTGTATGTTTGGGACTTTTTTTTAAATGTGATGCAAACACTAACTAAGTCCTAACAGACTCTATATTTGCTCTGTATGCTTGCAAGCCATGCAAAAATGGTAGGAATGGAGATGAATAATGGACAGGAGGAAAGAAAAGGGGAAATGTCGAGATGAAAAGAGAGAACCGTGTCCTTGAGGTGAAGTGTAGATGACTCAGCATTTGTTGGAATAAGATGACATGAATCATTTTCAAGCAAACAAATCAGACTTAAAAAAAAATACTTAACTGGCAGAGACTGATTTAATGAGAAGAACCGTTTTTTCACAGTCTTAGTAGCATCAGAGGATATTCATTTATTCAAGATTATTTCCTACATTTTCCATAAAAGTCATGACTAAGATTGTCAACAATTTTAATACTTTGTTCAATTTATATGACCAAGCCTTTAAAACGATACAACCTCTGTTGTTTTAATGATCAACAGAATCAAAAGTTCAGTTTCTGTATCGAAATGTTGCCAAAGTATTTCTGCAATTTAGACCGTGTGCAGGAGGTCACTTGCTATTTATAATGACTGAAAACAAGAAATGACCTACTATTTGGAGGCTAGGACTTGTATTTTTGTTCATGTGGTATCATAATAAACTGATATCATAATATCATATCCAAGTTTAAACCTGGTATTGTGACAACCCTAGTCATGTCTGTCACATGCAGTCTCTGTACATTAATACGATATTAAATTTGGACGACTGAGAGGTGATCGTCATTCATCATCAATCCTGAGCTCCTCGTCTTTGAGTTACCTGTTTGTAGCAACAACAACAAAAAAAACCTGGAGGACGCATGAGAAACTGACTTTGCCCGTTCAGAGTGAACCCAGACAATTCATTGCAGGGCAACAAAAGCGAGAACAGGAGATGGAAAGGAGCGAAGCAGCAAAAGCAGAAGAAAGGTACAGAAGCAGGAGCAGTGTGGCAGGACCTGATACTGGACTGGACTGGACTGGGATTTAAAGTGATGTGGTATGTTACAGCTACTTGGATGTCAAATAATTCCTGCCTATTATGTATAAATGTTTTAGAGATGGTGTTTGACCTGAGGAGTACAGCACAGCTTTGGACAGATCAAAAGTATTTATGCCCACAAAAATAGTTCCTAATCATCCAGGCTCTTTGAACTGTGGTGGAAATGTTGAAAACAAGGGCTAAGGAACCTTTATGTTCCTGGAAAAATAATTAGACAGACTATAAAGTCAGAGACCAATTGTGTATATAATATGGTAAAATATGTGGATAAATAAATAAGCTTGTTTGTCAAGCTCTGGATAGTGAGACATTTTTTCCCAGGAGCCCTTAAAACAAAGCACAATTCTAAAACCTCAGTGCAAGTTTCCACCCACACTTTAAGTGTTTAACTACTAGTGTCCACTCTAGTTAAAAAAAGAAAAATATGTGAAACGGTTCCTTCAGTCCTGTATCCAGGTTCTGCCATACTGCTCATCTCATTTTTGAGTTGTGGTTAGGGGGTCCCTTGTGATTGGCTTGGACTAACCAAGGATTTCTGTGTGTACTATTTCTATCCTTGATCACAGGTGGGAGAATGAGTGAGTGGGTGAGTGACTGAGGGAGACGGAGAGACAGACTGGACAGGAAAGAGTATGTACAGACCTCTTCCTCCTCAATTCGAGCAGGTTCAATGAGCAGATTATTGACTTGATCAAATGACACCCCCTGTTAGGACAGGAACCAGCGAGAGGCATGCGGATTAGTCAGGCCAAAATAAAAAATATGCTCACACACGCACTTTAAAAAAAAAAAAAAAAAAGTTAAACTAACTTTTCCATAAACTTCACCAAACACACCCAGCACTCATCTTGTCTGCTTTCAAGGTTGTGCCCCCCCCACTGGGAGGGACAACAATGAGGCAGAAGCAATCCCACACACACTCCCCGGCCACCAGAAGCAAATACAGGCAGAGACAGAAAGACAAGACCCAGGAGCTGAGCTGTAGCGTAGTGTACAGAGAGCAGACAAGAGAAGGTAAAAGCTCCCAACCTCCACACCACAGAAAGCAAACTCCTTTTAAATAATGAGAAACTGTACAAGGTTACGAAGTAAACCTTTAGCCTAACAAAGATATCTTCAATATGTCTTCTGAAAGTAATTTACAAAATCAGAGCTAAAACTTAATTTCCTCTATAATAACTTTATAGGATGTCAAGCTCCTTGAATCTGACATTCCAGCTCTGCCAGTATAAGTTCTGGTTGGTCTCAGGTCATCCACACACAAACACACACACACAGACTCTTCTTCATAAACACTCACACACAACAAATTATGTGATCTGATAATGTCTGATCAGTGATCACAGTGTTAAAAAGGTTATCTATAATCACAGCATGACAAATTTAAATACTTCATTTCCCAAAATGATTCACAGAGTTCACTCACTCCACTCGTACTCACAGGCACACTGGCACAGGGTTATAAAAGCAGATTTTTGAAAGTTTCATTATTCGATGATTAAATCAGCAGAATATGGTGAGAATTTAGTGCTGCACTTGGCTCGTGTTTTTTTGCAAAGAAATGCCTGCAGCTGCTGGAGTGACTTCTTAAAATCAGGAGTTCGTCTGTGGCATGTTAATTGTGCAAAGTTCAGGAAGCTTTCTTGTGTGGGAAAACAAAGATTTAAACAATCTACTTTATTCTGAAGTATGAGAAAATTGTAAATTATCGTTTTCTGTGTTGGAATGTGAATTATTTTGATGCGTCTCAGGCGTTTGGTGAATTACTTATTACCTTTGGGAGGGATAAACATGCTAAAAAAAAACTCTCCATTTGATTTAATGCTCAAGGTGAGACATCCTCATTTGCACAATGACCCTGCATGCAATGCAACGTCTTTAAGAAGAGTTGGCAGGCCAATACAAACTTAATGCAACTTGTAAGGTGCTAGGGTCACTCTATGCATACAGTATTAGGTGCTTACATAGAGGCAGTGAGCAAGCAAAAAAAACAGTTGAAATATATTCTTATAGTGGGAATGGTAAATAGTAAATGTTTAACTTGTGTGCATAACGTATGTCCTGTTTAAACACTTCCATTTAGATTTAAATGTGTAACTAATGGTGGGTAAAGAAGCTGTTTCTTTTCTACTTTTTACCATCAATATTCCTGCCCTGCCCAGTACCAGAGCTGGGACTTCTACTTTACCTTTACTTGACTAGAGTTGCCCGAGTTCCGGCTCTCCTCAAGCTCCTCCAATCTGCGATGCTGTAGAGGTGTGCACAAGCTCTGCTCGTCCTCCTCATCCTCCTCGTCCTGCTCGTCCTCGGCAACCTGCGTCTGGGAATTCATGCCATCGGGGCTGAAGCCCTGTAGCAGCGCAGCCACAGCCTCAGGCTTGGGCAGCTTGGTGATTTTGAAGTGCTTCTTGTAGTGTGGCGTGTCCTTTCTGATCAGACGCTGCTTCTCTGCGGGAATAGCCGGCCTCTCGTCCTCTTCGTCGCTCCTCCCACCATCTTCCCCGTCCTCCTCGTCGTCCTCATCCCCTCCTCTGATGATGGGCTCCTCTGCAAAGTGCACAGTGGGCTGCAGGAAAGACATTTGAAACAGAGAGAAAGTTAATTAAAGGATAGTCACCAGGGGAATATTTGAAAAGGCTGTTCAGATTAATACTCACCTCAATGTACTCCACCTCCATCTCGTCGAGCTCTTCCTCTTCCTGAGGGGAGTGGCCGTCCACAAGGTCCTCCCTCTGCGAGGCCACATTTTGTCTTTCCTCATGGGAGGTGGCAGACAGTGTGCTGTTTGACACCTGGGAGTCATGGCTCTGATTGGACAGATCGCTGAGCCTCTTCTCCTTTAACAAAACACATCAATTTGATTCTTCAGGATTAAGTGCATGAGTCAATAATGAGGCAAAACTGGATTGAAATGTTTGTCTGATTTTGTGTAATTCCTACAATAGCAGTGGATTTATGCAGAAGGCGAGACAGATTGCAATATCTAATTAAATCTCAATTGGCTGCTTGCAGACTTGAAATGATAATCATGACAGAATAGGATTTATTTACATGTTGATCATGGAAATCTTCTCCATCAGGTCTTGATGTGTAAGCCTCGTTCCTCCTCTCCTCTATCACCTTCTTCATCACCTTCAGCTCACTAGGATGAGGCGTGGCTCTGCGCTGCAGGCCCTGAAACACAGAAGAACAGTTTACAAACAGGAATGTTTGCAACAAGCTTGTTTTAGTTAACTGTATTGCTGTTGTGTTTCCTCACTCTGCGCTCTGCAGCAGCCTCGTCGTCGTCGTCCTCAGCCTTGGTCTCCTCCTGGAACTGAATGACTGACACTCGGTTCAGGTTGCTGTCCGTCCAGCTGTCATCCACGCTGTTCTGCAGCAAGTTCTCTGTGGGAAATGTAAGCAAGTACAGACGACAGCAAGATGTCAGACTGGGCTCACAGCTAGAGATGACTTTTAAACGCTCAGCTTCAGAGACAGATTTTATGAAGTCTCGTAACCCATGTGTAGTTTTTAAAGCTACACTAAGGTAATAAACATCTTAAAACTGTAACAAAAAGTTATGTTATAAACATCTAAATTTGAAAAGCAGTAAATTCAGTACATGGTTTGAATATTTAGAATACAGCTAATGTATGTATAAAAGTATGCAATAACCCCTAACTGTGTGGTTTAGACAATGGTGAAGCTGAATAGGCCAGAATTAGACAATCTAAATATCTCATTACACACCTTAAAAAAAGTATGTCTTCATTTATACATGTCTCATGTCAAACCAATGAAAAATGTAATATTACTTTACTAAGGGCTACTCACCTAGGCTCGGAGAAGGCTGCTGAGGCAGTAGATAGCAGGTCAGCACCTTCTCTCCTGTGCACTCGTCATCCTCCGTCTGGAACTTCAGCATCGGCTGTGATTGGTTCTCTGCGAGCCACATGGCCTTCAGATTGAGGTTTGTCAGGGCAAAAGGCAGGTTTTGCAATCTAGGGAAAATAAGAAGGGGGGAAGGGAAGAGCCATAAACTAAAATGTTCAGCAACAAATATCACCAGTGGCAGATCAGGGGCAAAATGACTCGCCCCACCATTCCACCTCTAACCTTGACGGGGGCCCAAGTATCCCGTCTTTTCCAAATAGTGCATGATTTTGATATTTTAAAAATGCCATTCTCATTACTTAGCACTGTAGGTTTGAAAATTCAACTAAATAAGGTTAAATGGTTTATTCAGAGAAACTTTTAATTACCCTCCTGGTAAAACATACTCAGTAACACAGAGGCTGTCTCCTTTTTTTTTTTTTTTTACAGTAAAGAACATGGTAGGGGATAAATACATGCTAACAAAACTTTAACCTTTGCTAGAATAGGTGTAGTTTGTTTATTTAGAGTCCAGGATGTTAAGTGTTAACATGCTACCTGTTTCCAGCCACGTCCAGCACATGCAGATCGGTGGCGTCTGCGAGCTCAGAAGGCAGTTTGCCCAGGCGGTTGTCTCTCAGTGAGAGAACATTGAGGCTGGCACAGCCGCCCAGCTCTTTGGGCACGCTACCCAAACGGTTGCGGTCTACATTCAGATTGGTCAGCTTCTTCAGCTTGCCCAGCGAGCGAGGAAGTGACTTTAATGTAGTGAGAAAGAAGCCATTAATAAATCAGTGAAAATCATAATGGACTTTAATAGCTGTAAAATGAAAGTCGATATTAATGGACAGTGCAAGGATGTCGAAATTGGTTTATATCTCCTGTGTACCTGTAAAAGGTTCTCTGTCAAGACGAGCTCTGTGAGGTTTTCACACTCTCCGATTGAATCAGTGAGCTGGGTCAGTCTGTTCTGGTCCACCTTTAAGATTGACAGCTGTTTCAGGGAGCCTAAACACAAAACAAAACACCTGTTAACCGAACATAACACCATTTTACATCAAGTTAGGACTTTTTAAATAAATGCATTTGCTTAATTAAAAACACTGAATCAAAACATAAAACATTACAGTTGATATCATTCCCACGTAACTCTCCACTGGCGTCATTTGTCCAGTAGAGGGCAGTGCTGTTGTTATTTAACAGAACACTGTCCTGCACACTGCCTGATTAGAGTTCAAACTGAAAAAGTACCAAAAATAATCTTGTGTTTACAATAAAGAAAACACATTCATTAAACTGTGATATACTGCTGGAAAATAATACTGATGTGTTTATATTTCCTTTGTGTGTGTGTGTGTGTGTGTGTGTGTGTGTGTGTGTGTGTGTGTGTGTGTGTGATCTTATTTGTTAGGAGGGTTGCACTCACAGATCCGAGGACTTAATCATTTATTCATTAAAAGTCTCAAAAGTATTTGGTGCTGTCTTCCGTCTAGATCTCTGCTTTGGCATTTTTTTTCTCTATTTTTTACTCTTGTGTGCGTCTCACCTATGCTGTCTGGGACGATATCCAACTGATTCTGTGTGAGCAGCAGGTCAGTGAGAGCCAGGAGGCCGTTGAGCTCCGAGGGAAGCTCCTCTAGATGATTCTCGGACACATCCAGACACACCAGTCTCCGGAGGTTTCCCAGCTCCTACACGCACACACACACACACACATAATTCAAACCTCTTGTAGCCCCACAGGAGGACAATGGGAATGGGATTATTACCCTCAAAGAAAGACAAAAATTGTATTAAACTGTACTCACTGGTGGTAATGACGACAGCTGGTTGCGGTCCAGCCACAGTTCCCTCAGGTTAGGGAGAGCACCCAGAGTGTCCGGCTAACAGGTACACAGAGGGAGAAGGGGGGGTAACATATGATCAGTGGTTATCTGAACAGGTAGGTTGACTATTTTTGGCATATCTTTGTAGTGCAAAGCATGCTCTAATAAACACACACAGCAGAGAGCAGAAATCTGCTCCTTCTGAAGAGCGTTAGAGGGGTTGAGGCCACAGCTGAGACAGACATCATGTGCCCTAAATTCACTGGCACACAGCTGATGAAAGGGATGATTAAAAGCATTTAACAACTTAATGTCAGCATTTCAAACATTGATTCTAGCCTTTGATGCCTGTTTTACTGTGGGACTTCTGCTCAGTCTGACTTCATCTTAGATCTAAATTGATTTATTTGGTTTTCTATATTTGTATCTGCCAACAACTTAAAAAGAAAGAGGACATTTAATTGCAGTTCTTCTCTTTTTGGGATCTGTTATTTGTTGTTCTTTTATGTTAGCGCTGGATTAGATGCAGTAAACATTTATTTTTTTACGATTCTGCATTCACTTGGGATAAAAATAAACATTAAAACATGTAGATGGACGGATAGACGGAATTAGGAGAATGCAGGCAGTCAGGCAGGGTTTAGTCATTATGTCAACTATTTGCTCAGCCTCCGCCCTTGTCAGCTCATGAGGCATTGTTTACCCTGTCCTGTTGAGACAGGTGGGTGTTCCCGTTGTGGGGTACAGTGCATGCACGGCCTCAGGTGTGACAAGCCGGCTCTGCTGGGTCTTTCAAGGTAAACATGGGGTTAGGATCAGAGTTATTGTGCTGGGAATGTGAGAAGAATACTTTTCCAAGAATGTCACTTGTGTGTAGTGGTGAAAATATTTTTAAATAATTATTTTCTCATTTACCAAAAGTTCCAGTTCATTACTGCCAAGGTCCAGCTGTTCCAGTTTCACCAGGAAAGAGAGCGACCTGAATATACATACAAAAGAGAGCACATGCGGTTAGTCACACAAGTATGTGCCCTGTGGGACGAGAGAGTACAGTCACAAGTTGTGACATAAGCAAAGAATGTTTTTAAACCGACATCCTTACACGATGCTTCTGTCATGTTCAACGCTGTATTCACTTTGTAATAAAGCATTGCAGTATGAGGTGAGAAAGTTTGTGACTCTATTTTTGTACAATGCAAACCTCCAAAAGTTAGGAAATGACATCAGCGTTAATGATTTTTAATGAATTTTGGGATTGTTGTCAAAAGGAGCTTATAATGCTTTATGAAGACGGTAGGATATAAGATAACAGAGCCAGCTTTGCATATGTAGAAGTGGAGGGAGTTGACACTTACGCTGGTAGAGACTTCAGCAAGTTCTCCCTGAGCTCCAACGTCACCAGGTTGCCCAAACTAAAAACAAAAGGAGGCGAGTGAAAAGAGAAAGGGGAGAAGGAGTTGGCAGCGTGAAGAAGAGAGGATGGGGGTGGAAGAGAAGAGAGGCAGGTTGGTTAGTCAGATGGCAGGTCTGTTCGTCTGGGCCGCCTGACATGGCGAGGGGCTCTTCCATCTGTGCGAGGCCAGCAGTGGCCCAGAGCCCAGAGACCAGCTGCCTCCGAGCCCACTGGGCAACAGAATCAAACTCACACTTAAAAATCTGCTCAGTCCCGTCATGTAACAAGGATCTCAATGACAAGATGTCCTCAAGTGCGCCATTGAAGGACAGTGTGACGGCTTCATTTGACAATTTTGATTTATAAACTTGACTGTTTTTAGAAGTTGCCACATCAAAACTGTAGGACTAAATTAACGACTACTCACATTGTCAATAAGTAATTCATGTTTTCAACTGATATACAAATGTCTAATTTACAAAACGAGAAGCGAGGTTGAGAAGCACCTGACAGTCTCCCTGAAATAAATCCCCTTTTTTTTTCAAAATGTTTGTCGATTCTAAATTAAATCCCAAATGTATTTAAGCAAAGAATGGTACAAGTGATGAATAAGTAAAGCTGCAAAATAAACGAGAAAGCGGGGATTATTATTTTCTTATACCAGAGCCATTGTGGATATGTTTACGTACTTTCCTATGTCGTTGGGCAACGTCTGCAAGGACACGTTGTTGAGTGCCAAGTGAGCCAGCGCTCTGAGCTGAGTGAAACCATCCGGCAATCTGGAAATAAAGGAGGAAAAAAGGGGAGAGATTTGTAAGGCTTTGTTGAACAAAACAAGCTGTCTTGATTTCAATTCTTCACATGCTATGCATTATTATCACTTAGGAAATATATTAATGTTTCTTTCCACACAGCTGTACCGCTGGACATAAATATTTTTTCACAGTGACAATGGGGTTTACCTGGACAGAGGGTTTCCACTGAAGTCTGCGATCTCCAATGCCCTGCAGAACTTAATGCTCTCTGGGATTTCAGGAATGTCTGACGGAGAAAAGAGGGGGAGATCAGGAGTCAGCGTAGTGGACACAGATGTAGTGTGTATGTGTGTGTTATGGGAGGGGGGGGTGCATATTCTCTGTAGTGAATGATTTAAGATTCTTGTAATTTCAACCAGATGTTCAAAAGCAAAGAAAGGGAAAATGAGATGAAGTTGAATGATGGAGGACATGGTCAAAGTTTACTGTAACGGCTTAATTTACCCCAATTCAGTCCAATTTGCTGAGCAATCACACAACACTTGGACTGAAACCAAGTCATAATTGAGCTAATTGGATCCTTCTCTCTGCATATGGAATTATTTCAGCTGTTTACTTCAGTACTAAATATGATGGTGTTGCGGAATACAATCCAGAAATTAAGTTAGGGTAAAACAAAAAGAAAAGCTATTTGGCAGATCAGAACAACAACAACGACAAGTGTAATGATAAGTTATGTAGCTTGGGATCCTGAAGGTTGTTGTCTCGTTAAACAAACCACCACTGCAGCAGGTATATGATCAAGTTTTAGCACATAAAATGTAATTACATGATGGCATAAATAGCTGTAACAAACATTAGTTAACGTCAACATTTTACTGACTTCCTTTCTTATATAAATGAAATGTGAAATTGTGGCTCTCTCTGTGTTGAACTTTGTTTCAAATATGTAGAAAATTGTATAGATAGTCTAGTGTTTTAGTACTGTCTCGAGACCACTTTTTGAAGGCATCAGCTCGAATCGAAAGTGTTTATACTCAGTCTTGTCTCGGTCCCTGACTGTTCTGTTCTCTAATTGTCACACAACATTTTCACAACAGATTTTCACAGCATTAGTTTAAGATGTGTGAAACAATATATATATATCCTTCTGCAAAGAAACAGTAAGATAAAGCTAGCTATTCCTACACAATGGAAAGACAGGTAGATGACGATGCAGTATGTGAGTGAACCTTACCCACATACATGTTTTTTGCAGAGACAAATCGCTTGTAGTGAGACGTGAATTTACAAAACCGTTTTTGTGCTTAGTCTGGTTCATATACAGGAAAAAAATCTGGTCTGCAGGACTGAAAAGGTACAGAACTTTCTGTCACTGTCACTATGCTGCAGGTGCAGGTTAACAAATCCCTGCTGAGCTGAGCAGCCTTTGACGTTCATCTGGCTCAGCGTTGTCCTGCAGCAGAGGAGCAGGCGAGCAGACAGGCAGACAGATGGGAAAAGCCCTTACAGGCCGCTGCACACTGCTCACACAGCACTTGATGCAGTGTGGAGCCGAGCAGATGTCTTCTATCTAGGATGAAGGCCTTTCCTGCCAATGAGTATCAGAGTGACTGAGAGCAGTGTGGTGCAAGGACACAGAGGGGACAAGATGTGTGCAAGTGTTAGAGCTGATGGGTTACACAAATCAAATAACAGCCCAAAACGAAGTGAGAGTCATCTTGTGTCTCGTTATGCCTGATATTTGCTTCTCTCAAGGCAGTTTCAAGGGCATGGAGATTCTTGTATGAATGTCTGTTGTGCCCAGGGGTAGACTGAATAAAGAAGGCAAAGAAGGCAGTCAAATATTAATCTAATGGCTGCTGCTAGAGTGTTCATTTCAACAACGGGTTTGGCAACACTCCCGTCGTTAAACCAACATGCAGACATCCCTTTTGCAGACATTAACCCCCATGTTGCGTCGTGTTTTCAGGGTGGTCTCGACAAGTGGGGAAGCCTAATTCAAAACACGTCATTAAAGCAATTGTGTGTTAATGCGTTGTGCAGTGAACTTGGTGTGCGTCTTGTACCATTTCTGGAGATGTCCAGTTCCACCAGCTGCATGAAGTTGGCCACCTCAGGAGGGAGTCTCTGGATCTCATTGTCACTCAGGCCGAGCTTCCGGAGGTTCAGTAGTCTGAAGAAAGGCTGTGAAGACAAAATGTTATGTTAATAAAAGCAGTACACTGAGAACTTTCTCATCCCAGTCTGGCATGCTGCAACAAGGGAAAATGTTGCAGACTTAAAGTTTGCTGGTTTCATTTCAAATCTATAAAACGGTGGTGGCAAAAGCGTCCCAATGCTTAACGAGTAGTAGGTTTGTCACTATACCAGGTTTTTCAACTGCTACAATTCAGTAACCATCAACTGATTCCATATTTCAATAGCTGCCTGGGCAACAAAAGGACAAGCCCTAGGCACCCAATATCTTAATCAATAATTTCTTGTCTTTCAATTAGGCAAAATCCTGCACAACGTCAATGGCAACATATTAAGAGTTCTGTACCTGATTTTAAAATAACAAAGATTGAATATTTTTAGATATTGACAACATTTCTACAACCCAAGTAGGGCAGAAATGTGTTTTTTTAATGATAAGCCATTATTGTTATTTTTTTTCTCTCATTGGGATCGGACAATTTATCAACTGATCATTTCTGCTAGTACAGCAATGTTCAGGTCTAAAGTGGACAAACAGAAGTGTGATGATAAAGATCAAGCTGCAGGCTTGTACATGATATGTTCAGATGACTGTTGTGTTGCAGACGTTTCTCTCTGCCTTCACATCTACACAGTGTACACACAGAGCTTTCTGTATATGCAGAGGAGGCCCGTCTCCAGAACCAGTTTTAAAAACATTCCAATCATCATATTCCCAAAAACTGCTCCTCGCCATGGCAACCCCAACCAAACAAAGTGGCTTTGGATAGGAGGGACGCGTTGAGTGCTGAGCATGCAGCCGTGCCAAGTGCTTTCACAAGAGGCTGGTTGTTGGATGGGACGGCGTTCAGAAACATTCCTCCGCCAGCCGTGCTGTGTGTGCCTGTGTATGTGTGTGTCATCTGCTCTTAAGATGGACAGACAAGACAGGCTGGCCGAGAACAGCAAGTGGAACAGGCCAGAACTATGCAGTTATTAACCCCTCAATCGATCCCAGTACTGCAGCTCACAGAGCATCCACTGTCTGCCCATCCAAGGCTTGTTCTCAGACGCCGTAATGAGGGACATGCAGGCTTTTTTGTAATTTACAAAAATGCATTATTCAGAGTTACTTTTTGGACACTGGATGCAAGTTTCGAACCATGACCTCAATTTAAACTTCAGTGTGAATGCAAAGCTGAGACCATTTTGTGTCAAATATGAGAAATGAATACACTGAAGAATCCAAGAAATGTCTAAGCTCCTCCTTCGTCTCTGGGACTACGATTTAAAAAATGTAGCACTGTGACACTCCTGTGTGCAGACTGTTGCATAAACATGTGATGAATCAGGCAGCACAAAACCTTCTTTGATGTGTATTGTCAGGTTTCTGGTTGACAGAAGTGTCAAAACACACACTTAAGACAACATACCGGGAGTTAAGAGGAGAATGCATCAGATCAGCTTTGTGCCGCTCTCCTGATGACAGACATATCCTGCTCTTAATCTATTACGTGAATTGTGTTTTGGGTTGAGGTGGCTACTGCAGCATTTTTTTCCCCAGAATGTGATTGGGAGTTTGCTGGAAGTGCAAGACAGAGCTTGTTAGAATTTCGCCTGATTTCTTGGTATCTGACTGGTGGTAAACGCTAACATTCACACCTGGTGCAAAGGGTTTTAACAAGCAAACAGAACTACTATCAGCAATTATCATTTTCTTCTTCCGGTCGAAACTGTATTCTCACTGGCAAGAATAAAAGATATCCACAGGTTATTTCTTCTGAGGACAAATGACATCACTTTTGCCATTCATGTGCACTGGGCTTTCAATTTAGGATATCCGCAACATCATTCTTCCTATCAAGTAGCAGGTGACAGGTATCAGATGAAAGGAAAAGGAAACAGGAGCTGTGGGTGATCAATGTGACCCAGGCTAAGCCCAGATGGGAACCGGCCCCCAGAAGGGAGAGGCAACCTTGCTGGACAGGTGATACTCAGAGACTAGAAAGCCTCTCAGCGAGTGTTGCAGCAACACACACCTAAACCTAGTGATGCCGGTACAAGAACACACAAAACATTATGTTTACTCTGCATAATGCTAACAAGGCTCCAGGTTTGTCTTCCCACAGTGAGGCTTGTACTCATTCCAGAGAATACAAAGCCATATTACCACTAATAGACAATCAGCCATTCCTCTACACAGGCTAAACTAATTGCTAAATTCAAGATTTTGCATCAGTGCATTCCTCCTCTCCCTTGAAATTGTCCAGACCTCTGTCAGCGAAGAGGGGAGAGACAGTAATATAATCATGCACTGTGAACAAGTTGTTATGAACACTCACAAAGATGGCCATTCACTGCTGAGCGGCCGTTCACAGACAGACCCGACAGTGTTTTTCTAGGGAACTGTGATGCTGCACGCAAATCTCAAACCAGTTCTACTCGCCCATTAAGTAAGAATAGGAAGATTTGATTTGTCTTTAGTAATTTTGAAGGCCGCAAGATGCCAAATAACTACAAACAGATACTGACACAAAACAATCAACAACTGCTTAATCGATCAATGAAAACAGGACCCAATGTCCAGGCTGTTTCCCACCCACTGATTAAACAATAGGGAACCAAACAGTGCTATACGGGTCAATGGGTCAATTGGAATAACAAGTAGGAGGAGAGGGATTTAGTGTACCGCCACCGTCTCTGTATTGTATTATTACTGAGCTGCTGCAGCCTGCTCAGTCACTCATGCTGCCTTTACAGGTCTGAGCTGGTGTGAGGCAGCACGCTGGTGAGAACGAGTGTGCTGCATTTCCTTTATAACTTTACAACTGGGATGTTTTAATGAGAACCCCTTGTGAGAGTTGTTTGCTAAGGGAAGGGAGTGTGGCTGCGAGGCGGGAGGATGAAGTAAAGTGGAGCATAAAGGAGGGAAAGTTAGGGAGGGTAAATTATAGCTGTGTCAGCAGAGGTCTATGGAGCACAGTACTGCATTACAGTCAATATACACATGGCAAACCTATGGACAAAACTAGAGCAACCTGGCATGCAGCAGAGTAATCATTTAATCTTGATTATCTTGTTTTTATGATCGTTGCAAGCCAAAATCGTTATTGAAATTGAAACTTGATTAATTGCCAAGCACTACAACGGATCTACATCTGACCACCTGCAGAGCATAAGGTTTCTACTCGGGGCTCGAGCAGAGTGCACGTGCAAAAAAATATACTTCAGGGGGCCTAATTGGGTGCCCACACAGGAAAGGTCTATGGTTGGGAAAACACTTTCATGGACAATTTAAGTCCAGTGGGGAAACTTTTAAGATTGGAAATCCGGAAGAATCACATCCCTGCTGGTGGCGGTGGTTACAGGCAGTAAATATTACTGTACAGAATTGGCCAATAGTGTTGCTGATAGTCTTGTCTGCTTTTTTGTAAGTCATAAAGAGGTATGTTCATTTCAGTCTGCTTCATAACCAGCTAAAAACTCCTCATGGGAGCTTTAAAAGGGGGCCAAACTGTATGTGATCACTTGGGTAAAAAGGGTTGGGTGAAGTCTGTAGCCATGTGCCTGAACTGTGATAAGGTTTGACACAGGGGAAGATTGGCTCCATGAAACATTGACAATATGACCGAGTCAAGCTAGAGTGAAATGAGTTCTGGAGTGGGGATACTTATTTGAGCTATCCCTCATTACTGTACAATCAATGAAGCCTCGGCATCCCTGAGAAACCTGTGGGAGATAGCCGTGTAAGCATGTGTGAAGCAGTGTTTCCCCTACCATTATATTGGGGGGGGGGGGGGGCCTAGGGGAGCCACTGTGAAGTATCTTAAAAGGTTCTTCTTAGTCTTATCTGTATCGCCTCACTTAGCGTACATTCCTCTAAGACAGTGGGTTAATGTGCCTCAGGATGTGTAGATGCACGCTTCGTTTTGCAGAAGACCTCAAGTCACAGGAGGGAGGATCCTGCGCTGTAGGTCTCTCAGTCAGGGCTGTTTACATAGTCTTCGGTTTTTTTTTTCTCAAGAAAGCTGGCTCCAGCAGGACTCAGCATGTGTGTGTCAGTGGGGCATAGAGCAGCATGCTAACGTGCATATTTGTGTGTTCCTGTGTATTTGCAGCGGTGTGTGTTTATTCAAGAGTGTTTATGATCGTGTTAATGTGCACTGAAAGAGACTGTAAATTCACAGTGGGAGGGGGGGGGGATGTTAATGTTTGCGGACCTCACATCACTCCAGAGAATTTAATTAAATAGTAATGACACATATCCAAAAGAAAACTGTGTGTGTGATTGTGCCACATTTAGGCAACAGTATGTTCTCCGTATTTTCCACTTTTACTCAGGAAGACGATGCCTGAGGTTTACAGAGGCTGCTGTGTTCAGTCAAGTGACTCCATTTAGTTTATAGTTTCCCTTCAATCATGCCATCAGACAATAGATAGAGGAGGTTCAGCACACACACACACACACACACACACACACACACACACACACACACACTATTTAAGTCCTCCTACAGAGACCATTTAGTGTGCAGGAGACCGTAGAGAAACGCCAGACTCTCAACTCTGTTCTTGCCCTAAATCATTAACCTGAGCCAGGCAGGTTCATTGTTAAAAAAAAAAAAAAAAAAACTCCTACAATAGTTTCTGCATGATGTCTGGGAATTAAGTGGGGGAATTCTGGCGGATTCGACATCAGGCCGCAGCTTGTCTACAAATCTACTGAATTACTGGATACATCTTCAATTTCAGGTCAATACTTAAGTCAGACTACACACCATTACCAAACCTCCCATCTATTATTCCTTTAACCCTTAATTTTTTTGTTTGACTCTAACACACTTAGTTTCCGCTCGAAGAGGAATTCCTATTCACACATTCCTGAGCCTCTTAATCTCATGCAAAATCTACCCAGTTGGCCTGGTCTGCATGTCCCCACTCTTTCCGATATCAAGTCCTCACACAATGCACACAAACTGCACACACACACTACTGGGGTGAGGGGCTCA